ATAGCGATCAAGGTGCTAACTCTGTGAAACTTCCAGGGTCTTATAGAGACATGCACAACGCATGGTCATCTAGAGGGTAATACACAGGCAGTAAGAAAGAATTTCACTTTTATTAAACTGCCCAGCCTTTCTACTAATGGACGTCTAGCCTCCCTAAGCCGGTCAGTTCTCGCGCATAGGGCTGTAGTTCATACACCCATGGGTAAATTACCCTTTAAAAAGCTTAGTGACCGCGAAATGAGAGTGTAGGTGAATATCAACTTACATGGCTCTAGAGGGTTGAAGATCTGATTACTCGCATGCAAACAGCTATGCCTATGAAATCGTAAATACAGGATTATGGCAACCTCAGCCAGCCCAACGTCAACCACAAAGGTGGCCTAGTGGGACTCTATAGGCCCGTTACACCTCTGAGGGTACAGCGCAAATTTCACCACCCTAAAGGCAAGGGTTCATTTTGAGTGATAAATTTAATCTCACCAACAAGTTACTCGATCTGTAGTGCAATTCTATCGTTCTCAAAATCCCACATTACCATGGTGCATGGCTTCCTCCCCTAACCAATCTTCTTTATTTAACGATCAGAAACTGGATGCAAAAATATTACACAAGTCTAATTCAAGTGTATTTTCAAATAAAATATTTTGATTTTTACGAGTAGCACAGCTATAAAGACACCTTTCCATCGTACTTGCTTGATGGTAATCACTTATTAACTATTGTGTTAACTTGCTTCTTCACAAAATCCCTTGCTGAAATTCAAATTCAAACGTTATCCGTTATTTTGCCAACGATACTCCGTCGGCATTTATCCGTTAAAATGGTTTGGATTTTATTAATATTGACCAAGAGCGATGAAAATGCTCTTAAAGTAATGGCGATGATATAATGGCCAAATTTCTTCTAATATTTGACAACTAAACACATCCTACACGTTTCAAAGAACCTCCTATTTGGATGGCACGCTGCTGGCAATAGCGAAAAAGAAGGTAACCGTCGCCATTTACTGAAAACGTGTGCAACCAGCAAATCAGTAGAAAGTGGGCAATGAATTGACTGTGGAGAGCGGATGCTATACTCGTTGGAACGACAGGCGTTATAGTTAAGAGAACGTAGTGATGTATAATTGCGTACTATAATTCCTGTGACTGTTGGCTAGTAGTATTCTCAAATACCGTGCCTTGGCGGCTAGGTTTTTCCTTATTTTTAGGCCATCATTATTTTAAACTGAATATAATACATCATAGCATTTGCGGCATGATATAAATGCGAATATGGATTGTAGACCCTTCCGTTGTCTAGATAGAAGCCATTTATTTAACGACGGAGCAGAAGTAATGTTTACACCTCTTTGTAATTATGATATTGTGACGTATTCTGTGCTTCTCCCTTCCACCACTGTTTTCCTATCCTTGGAATGAAAAGATTGTGTAGAGGAAGACATCTTTCATTTGAGAGGTATGGTGGAGGTTTATAGGCTATCTAGATTTAAAGGCGATCGGAGTCCGATCCCCTCCCAAGGGGGACGGTTTGTCCCTTAAGCAGTTTATTCACACAAAAAGCGTGCTACAACGTGTTGGTAGGTATTAAAATACTGTCGATATTCCTGTTATCTAGTAAAGGATTATTTTAACCCCAAATTTCTTTTTTCTAAAGTGATTCAAACAATTTAGGATCCTAAAGAATTTAGCATTCATAAAGTTCCGAATAGGTGTAAATGTTTCCTAGGTATGGTACATCAGAATTATTGTTTCAGAGTACTCAATGAATAGCGATATTTGCCTGGCATGAAATGGCTTTGTTTTGCTATTCTAATGTTCGAGGCTGTGTGTTTTATTGACCATTGGAATGCTCGAAAGCCAAATGGTCGAGACCCCGCTCTCTTGAAGTATTCTACCGACTGTTCCATGGAAGTGATTATGCGTAAACCCTCACAATATTTTCTTTTTTGCCTGCAAGTAATCATTTAACTTCAACGCAACTTGGATCGCTGCATACATAGGCGAATTACATGTTTTGTCGCTGATGTGTTGTAGGGATTTCATCCATATCATCACTTAGGCTGAGTGAATGCGGTAACTAGTCATTGAAGGCTAGCCGGGTGGATTTGCCCTTTTGAAAAACGCTGCTGTTCGATATATCTAAAAATATGTTTATTTGTAGCATGTTGATTTTCGCGTCAAATCAAGGTAGGATTATGAAGCATCCTGGCAACTGTGTTACGACCCGTACTAGCACATTTGGGTCGCATCGTCTGTGTTCCTAACTTTAATCCCCTTGTCATTACGATAATTTCATAAGGTATTTTTAGGCAATTTCGCACACTCAGGAGATTTTGACTATTACAGTATGTACAGAGGGCATGAAGAAGTTTCAACACAAGCAATGTGAAGCACAATCTATTCTTCTAGCTATAAAGATGTAACAGCGCTCCACATTTCGTTTTGAAGAAGGCGGTGGTTAAGCTGAGGGAATATTGGAATGCATTCTGGAGTGAAAAAGTGTAAAGATAACAGCTGTATAAAGCTGCTTGTTCTTGTTGAACATACACCCCCCATTAAATTCCTATAAATGTCTGAATTCCTCTTGCCAGTGATTTGCATGAATGCCTCTACCTCTTGTCAAAGTGAATCAAAAGAGTAAACTGCATTCCAAGCGAAATAAACAAATGAATATGTTTACGAATCCGTCATTCAAGGATCGGGAATTCACTGTCCTGGGAACGTCCTCCACACCTTAGGCTCAAATAAGTGAAATCGGGTGAATTTTTAAAGGGAAACATTAGACTAAAATATGGCTAATATGTTTCTTTTTTTAAAACTGCATGAAACAACCTTACGATAATTCGCTCATAACAAATTTTAGGCTAAACTGCATAACCAGTTCGTTAGGATGGTACTTTTTATTTATGTACCTATATTCGTAAGTCTTTTCGGGCAATTGGGATTCGGTCTAAGCAAATTTGCCCTAAGCCCCTCCTGCCCCACCAACAATGAAGTCACCACCAGGCTTTGATCCCCTATGATGCAAACCGAAGGCTACTCTGTGCCCCATAAAATACTCAGCAATTTCACAGCAAAGTCATGACCACTACCGCAGGAAATCGTCTTTTTGTTCTACAAAATCATGAATTAATCGTACATTGCATTTTGAAAGTCACATGGGGGCATTCTGATTTATTAATGTATTGCTGCGTTTAGAAATTTACCCTACTTTTCACAATTCCCAAAAATATTTCAAATGATGTGAATTTGAGAGATTAACTTAACCCTTCTTTGTAGCCGTGATTGGGAGTTTATTTTAGTTTGAAGGGTTAGAATTTTGCTTTGGAAAATTTGGACTCTTTTGGCATGTCCAGCTGCGCATTGCATACAAATTCTTCAAACTGGCCTGATATGGGGATTAGATTTCCCTGGTTCCATTTGATAATGACATTCAAGGGAAGGCATACCTTCACCATAATGCTTAATTGATGTTTTAGATCACTGGAATGATAGTAAGACATTGCCCTAAATTCCTGATGCGTCAGAATTTACGTTCAACTGTCATGGCTACGTGAGTTGGGGTGGCACAGCCTGTCATCTTAGTGGCAGAAAGAAGTCTACGGTTGATTTGCTGGAAAGTCGAAAAAAAGACGGCGCATTTCACTTTCAAGACATAACTTTTATTTTTAACCTGTAATGTGGATGTTTTACCAACAAAGGAAAACACATTAATATATTCAGAAACTGACAACCAAACCAACATAAACGGAGAGGGAAGAATAACAAGGTGTGTGAAAATAGGGGGAAGGGAGGAGTAAATCTTTGTGCCCCCTTTTTGTTAGATCAGGGTGTCCATTAAAAAAACAGCTATAGCACTTACTTTGCAAGGATGAAGCAATTTGCGAAGTTGAGAGGAAAAGCTTTAAACGAAAAGGTGCAAATTTACTAGCAGCGCCGCGAGTGCCAGAAGGAGGGTGTGCGGGGCCAACGAGGCAGTGCTATTGCAGAGGTCCGAGTTGCAGCATTCAATTCTCGTCCCCTCACCGACAACCACCGTTTCCAGTGGTTGGCATCGTTTCACGCATTTCCGGTGGATGGCTGAGACCTGACTATTTTTGTACGTCGTCTCTATCTACAGGAGTCCAACAGACAATTGCATTGGGGGGAGGGGGGGGCAATTTCGAATACAGTAAAGGGATGGTCCTCATTCGATACCTTCGCACCGGTCGTTATCACTGATGTGATCGCAAGAGATTTGTTTGTTTGATTATGGCCTGATTGTCATCGCACAACTACTAATAATTAAATTGATAGCGCTAGGAAACTATAGTTATAGTCTTGAAGTATGTGTTTACTGAGCTAACCACTGGAGTCAGAAGGAAAATCAGAATACTTATTAGATTTACTAAATGTTCGTATTTATTAGATTCTTTTCTCCAATCTTTCAAATAAAAAGTACATTTTTGTGGCTTCTAACGTCTATTCAGATCTACGATAAATGCAACACATTCTCCAACGACGATGGACTCTGGCAGATTCTGAGTTTCTTGTTGGGTTCGTCAGGATAGAATACCGGTTTGAAGTGCTTTGGGGCTAACTTAGTAAATTTTACATAAGTAACAGCACTTTAGGATCTGGAATCAAAATAGAGACCGCTCATTACCACTTAAAATGGAGCCCCAGTTAGTTTGCAGCTCTGTTCTTCATTCCCAACTAAGGTGCGACACCTCAATTCAGCAGAAACCTTGTAGTGATTCATATTACAGCTCTTGGTAAATTTACCCAAAAAACATGTGCAGATGGACAAATATCATCATAAACATAAAAAAATGGGCATGATATATCATTTTATTGACCATTTCCCTAAGATACTTCATTATTTCTGGCGTGAAATAACAAAAAAATAGAAGTCAGATGTATTACTCCGCCATGTTTTCTTGAGAGGGGATTGAAGCCATTGACGTATACAAGGCTATTAGTGGAGCGAGACCAGAATCGAACGTACTCACATGGCTAATGGATAAATGCCTGAAATTTATCAGTAAAAACAGCGAATGATGATTAGCTTTCGAGGGCCTGAAACTTATCCGTGAGGGCAACCTAGACGGATGGTTGGGGAGCATTAGGACTGCATTAGGGATGAACATCTTGCAGCAACTTCCACTTTTAAGGAAACGTTTTTGTAAAGGGTGTGATGCATATCAAATTTTTCCAGTGCAGGACTTTGTCCAGCTTTAGGCGACGCAACACAATGTTTTCATTGAAGCTCACAAACAAAGCATCTAGGCGATAAATTCCAACTAGACCTGCGAGCTGCAGCATTGCTGTCGAGTTTGTGAATATTGCAAGACTGCTCACAGGGAGTACTTAGGCCGAGGATCGAGTCAACGTAGAGACTGGTGCATACTACTACCCCTCTGGCCCTTCAGTGGATTTAAAAATAAAAACTTAAACTTGTGTGCCTTCTAGCGTCTTCAAGGATCCACTCAGGGGCTTGAATTGGCAAAATTATAAACGAAAAACCATACCTTAGACCTAAGTTTAAATTATACACGTCCGAGATTCCTAAAATTGGCCAGCTGTTGATGGAGGACACCTGTCTGATGAGTGTGCAATAATTTGTGCTTGCCGTGGACAGTCTTTTAAAGCTCCGATACCGCCTTGCACAAATAGGCACGCATCATCGTCATCGTGACCGGACATGAAGTGTCTGTCTCATGTTGGGAGTGGGCGGAGGATTAGAGGAGTTGAAACGATGTGGGTTTGTGCAAGCACAGCGTCCTGACTCACCTCATCACCAAGCCGACAGGACATCTGGCCAATCGCCCATCTATGGTTGTCGTGGTGACCTTCAAGCGTCAAAGCCAACATACGGACTCGGTGGAGCGATGCCCCAAATACACAATTCACAAACTGTGATAAATGACTCCTCTATCCATAAGATGGTACTTATCTCCATAAATCACTTGTCTTCACAGGATTCAAAAATCCTGACAAATGTGGACTACTTTTTTTGTTCTTGTCTCAAAGGTGTAAATTTACTTTGCTCTTACAATCATTAAAACAAATTATGCGAAGCACTTTTAAGTCAAAACCGGTAGTCCAAAATTATCATGCGCGGTTCTTTTGCCCAGTTCAAATAAATGAATTACTAAAGATAAAGCATCGAAAATTACCACCCACTCCATCTGTATACGTTGTGCAGCAAGTGACGGTTTCATGCTGTAAGCTTTAAGTTGAGGTAAATGAATTTACGGGATTTAAAAGAATATCCTACAACATTGAAATGACGAAGATACTTAAATTGTGCTTTGAGGATTATGCTGCAGTTCTCCACACTACTGCTAGTAACTTATTTACTGAGTTGACATTTGCCTTCAAATGTTTTTCGTCTCTCCACGAAAGGCCGGTCACCTCCGATGGGATTAATGCACAGTTGAAAAGTTTGGACACCACCAGTGCACATGTTAAAACAAAACATGGTAAGGTTTCATTAAAGTACAAGGCAGAACATGACCAACTCAATACATGGTTCATCCTGCACGGGTGTCTCGATAGGAAAACAACACCATCATTCTCATCTTGCACAAATAGCAAATCTCCGATTTTTCAATCATACCGCGTGCTTGCGTATTTAAAACAGGTCATTTGTATTATATTTGTGCATATTTCAAGCGCTGGATTTAGGCCCAGCTAGAATGTTGCTGATTTGTCCTTACTTTGCTAGGTTATAGTGCCTTCTAGCATTAACTTGTGGCGCTATGGCGCAAACTGACCATAGCATTTATTTCCCAAATAAAAAAGCCTCAAATCACGACAGGAAAATAAACGGAAAATGGATCAGGTTTTGTTGTTAACTTTTGGAACTTTGGTTATTAGTCGACTGAAAAATAGCCAGCGAATTGCAAAGTAAGGTGAAATTCTTCTTTTAACATGTTTGAACGAATAAGTAATTGGTATCACTCATTAGACCAAGAGCAAGTTTACTTAATAACGCTCAAAACACCATTTATCATTTCAATGAATTGAAGTGCGTTGCAATAAATGACTAGGTGCGTTGAGTATGCGAACCCTGGTACAAAATGGAAACTCACTGAGCAGGCACCACAACCTTTAGTCTTTCTCCACGATGCTGGATCTGGGCTGCAATTGCGGCATTTGAAGCAGTCAATGGAGAGGCCTAAAAGGGTTAAGAAATACCCATTCTTCGTATCAGAGAAACAAGTCCTGAGCAACAGTTCAGTGAGTCGTCAACGTACATAGAGGGAGGGCAAGGAGAATAAGAGGGATTATTTTCAGAATCCCAAGCATATGTACAGTCCGATGGCTAAATAGGTTGCCACTTTTACCAAAGGTGTCCGCCACTCCAATTCAGTCGACCAATTAAATGACTCCCACTCCCGACCTCCCATTGGCTGATGCGTGCTTCAAGGACGTGACAGTTGTGTTGGTGCGCACAGGTCTTTGAGCGTGAGTTAGGCTGCAGGATCTGCCTGGGATGTAGGTAAAAATGGGTAATAAAGCGTAAACAACCGTATAAGCGATAGCAAAGTTCTTTTAATCACAGACTTTAATGCAACAGGTAAACATTCTTGGAGAAAAAAGTGAGTTTTGGTTGAACTACAAAAAAAAACAATGAACCATTAATATGCACTTCATTAGACTTGACGTATCACTGTTGAGGAGGGCACTTTGATCTCAAAGTGATTTGAAAATGATTACCTTCACTTTCGGTAAAAACGTCCATGCAGATTATGAATAATTACTCTTCAAACACTGCAGCAGAAATCACCTCAGACTTTAAAGCTTAATATTTTACGGAATTTTCATAAGCACTTTGCAACGTCTGCGTGTATTTGACTTCCTTCGAGTTTTATTAAAATTAATGCATCGTGCCACTTGACTATCAGATTTTTTGCGATATAAAGAGAAATTAGATGGGCAAAATGCATATTTTTCAGCTTCTCAAAATATGGTAATTTCAGTACCTTACCATTTATAAATTGACAAATCAGTAGCGATCTATATTCATAATGAAAAAAAGATCATAAGTTTTTGCAACAGTAAATTGTTGAAGTTAAAGCCTGCGATGTGACAAAGTGTTTCACAATGCCCTGCGAACAGCTGCCCAAGATATGTAGACGGTACCCTGAATCCTCTGTCGGGATTCTTAACACTCGCCCATTTCAAAATTTTTTTTTGCGCAGGAAGAAAAGTGAACAAACTTTCTTGTAATTCGTTGGTATTTTGGCCAACCGTTCACATTTTAGACAAATGACACATGTTCACGTAAATAACTTTGTTAGGCATTAATCACGTTCTACGGGTCTGTATATTTACTACAAATATAATGCATCGATAAGAAACCCACATCCTATTCAAACTTAGAGAATGTCCAGTTTTATCTTGTGAAAGCAGAGGATGATTGAGAATTGGGTAGTAAACTATCAGCTTTTCAAGTGCGCTGCCAATTCCTTCCTCATATCGCTTTCTTATTAGTTATAATGTATCGCCCCGGGTCTGCCCTGAGGTCGTCGAAAGTCATAGTAACGTGGCAGAAAATGTATTACTGACGTACAGAAGAGGTGAAACTACCGGCATGGCCTGGAAGCCCTGCTGCTGAGTGAAGGGTCAGCTACAGCGTTTAAGAAACTATCAAAGCGCTACAATATTGTCTGAAATAGAAATGGAATTCACTCTATGCGTTTATTTAAGGCTTGTTAACTGAATGATTGAGTACAAATTCCCAGGAAAGGCAAAGTGGTGTTAGGTCTGCGATATTGTTGGTGGTCAAAGACCTAGATATTCTGACAAGTACGCGATTTGTGTTAACATGGGATTTTACAAGCCATGTCAATGGTATTTAAAGCGTCGTAAAAGCGATTCATTCAATACTACGTACATACAACTTATTAGAGCGTATGTTAGTTATTTTATACAATCCAAATGAACATTACTTAGGCAAAAATTTGACTTTTATTAACACTAGCGAACACAAAATGAACGTCTACCCGCCTCTTTACAAAGTATACTTATTACGATTCGAGCAAAGTAATTACCAGCTGATGCGTTCGAAGAAATGGAGGATTGCCTCCTCTTATGAATTGTGCTTAGTGAACAGTATAGTTATTTCCATGCAATGTCATTCTTAAAAGTATGAATCCACTAAAATTTGCCATAGAAAATTGTAATACGATGGTTGTTTAACGATCGGTATTGGTGAAGAGCCACTTTTGACTTGGCCATTGTACCACGCCGGGTGGGCTGGCCTTCCGACCATGCTAGTAGCCCGAATAACTTCTTTGTGTCGAATATACATACATTTTGCCCGAGTATCATGGCTTTCTTCGTCTTCAGGGAAGTCTCTCAGCCCTAAAAAGTGCTTGTTAATAATGAATGATTCGCATAAGGTGTATTTGAAATAATGCCTAAATGTAGACAGCTGAATTGATAAAGCGTTGCCTTGATTTGGATAGTCAGCCTAATTAAACTTGCGATTTCCTTCATTAAGAGAATATATTCCTATTAATGCAATAAATGAAGCTACCACTTTCACAGATAATTCCATAAAGTTTGTAAATTTACAAACGCAGTACTTAGCAGCCACGTGATGGCTTGGATAGCAGCATGTAAGTAGAGATTATTGTGTTACTGACTTTGTAAGGAGGGAGGCCTCGTCTGTTTAGGTGGAACACCACTTTGGTTTCCCCTACTTTTTCGTAGGAGTTTTTGCAGTCAAAGGGTTGAGTTTTCGCACTTTGGCGAGTCGTATCCACCAGAATTATTACAGTGGTAGTGGAATTTGTTAACTGAGTCGCAGCATTCTAATGGAGCTTATTCGAAACGGTTACAAAGGAATGCAGAAGTCAATTTGTTATGATTGCCTTCGGGTTGGGGGGGGGGGCTGTAAACTACTGTCATAGGTGGCTTTAGCATTAGGTGCCATGCAAGACATAGTTGAGTTAATTCAGAACTTCAAAATTTTTTTTATTAAGTTTAACTCGTACGAGAGCCTAAAAGGGTATCAAGCAAACAGAACAACAAACGGTAAGTGATTCTATTCCTCCTAGCAGGTTATTTTTGCTGGATAACGACGACCAAATTTTACCAGATACACATACGTTGGATTATTGGGTCTGGAAAAGCAGAAGCAATGTAGTATCAAATTCCATCTAGAGGCTTCTAATTTCTCAATTAACTAAAATGGCAATTTACCCTTAAGAATGATATCACTTTCAAGTCATTCTATTGCGCCCGAAGTACCTCGTGTTTGCAATCGCCGTTATATTCTAACTTCGGTATATTACTAATTTGCTTTACCAACGTCCAGACTGTAATTAAAATTTGTAAACCAATGTTTCGCACGATATTATAATTTACGTATTAATTTATTTAAATCAAGTATAGGTCTTATTTAAGTTCTGTGTTTGAGAAAAAACAGGCACATTTAACGCCATTTCAACCTTGAGAAACCCAGGTTATAGAAATTTTTTGGGACGTTCAGACATAAATTCTAGGGTAAAATCATATTACTTTGTTTGGCTCTTTCAATGAAAATAGGATATTCAGTGTCATTCCGATTCGGGGCGGGTAAATTTTACGTGGAAACACGATTTTAAGCCAACGGAAGTAGGCTTATCCATAACCGATTCCACTGTGACTGCATGGACTTTTGCACATGCTTTTTTTCACTTGGGCCACTTCCTACACAATAGCAGCTAAAAGCATTCACATTTGAGGTTTGTTTTTAGGCATCAGAAACTTAAATTATGGAAGAAGCAGGCGGAGGCATTTGTATTGTTTTGAACCCTGTGCATTTGCGGAGTGCATACCACTTTGTACATAATATATTCGTTGCGAAATGGGAATTAGTTCACTTAACTATAATATCACGCTAACCTCCGCGACGGTGGCATAAATTCCTGCCAAATCGCCTTTGCTGCTAGTCTCCCAGCCTCTCTGTAAATTTTTAATAAAGTGACTCCAGAACTCAAATGCCTTATAGCATCCAAAGAAGTTATTCAACTGCTACTGGTGGCTTAATTTACAACAAATTATAGAACATAATACTGAATATTAGAAAGACGGAATGCTTATGGTGAAATTTAACAAGAATAGCACAGTTGTAGATCGCAGATTGAGTGACCTCATAATTCATTTCCACAGCTATTACAAAAAAATACAAAAATAAAAATATCAGTAGATAAGGTTTAATATATTATATATGCAAAAAAAACACTAAAATATGATTGTGGATTATTCCACCTCCTTCAAGAAAGAGCTTCGACTTATGTTCGTTTAATATTCTTGTTCATTTACCCGATCTTCATACGACATACCCTTTAGATTTTCCAAGTCAGTGATTGCGATCTGTGTATCCATTCACATAATGAAAAACAGGATTTAAAGGATACCTTCTGCTCACATGGGAAGACTCCCCGTTGTAGAAAAATATTTTGGTTTCGAATTTTGTGGAATTGGAAGCAAGCAACGAACAGGAAGGTGGGAAGAAAGATGGCTAGAAGATTTGAAGGCGGCATGATGATGGCCATGGATCAGTCTTCCTAGTTGACTGGCATACAAACGCGACAGTTGTAGTGTCCCAAGACTTCCCTGAAGACGAAAGATGACACAATACTTGGGCAGAATATATATATTCATCACAGAGAAGGTGTTTGGGGTATTGGTATAGTCCAAAGGCCAGCCCACCCAGTGAGGTACAGGAAGGCTATTTCAAAGTACAAAAGTGGTGTCTCACCAATACTGAGGGATAAACCACCATCGTACTACACAGTCAATTGGAGCGACAGTAAGGTAGTGGTTGCATTAAAAACTCCTGAGGAGTTGCACAAATTTGTGTTACAGCACCCTCGAGCCACCCCCACTCTACCCACGGCATGGTTTTAAGGTTGGCAGGTATCTGGACAGCAATGTGTGGTATCCATAGCCCGTAATCCTGGAATTCGTCATTTTCTAGGTGGGTAATGAGTTAAGAAAACCAATGAGCAATTACGAAACCGATATGCTTACTACTTAAAATGAGAAAAAAAAACTCTCCTTGACGTGAGTTGGCTAAAAATACAGTCGGAGGGTGTTGGTAAATCCCAATTGATTGCAGTGTTGCAAGGGTAGCTGGTTGAGTGTCCTGGAATTGAAATGCAACTTGCTAATGAAATCACGTCAGCATGGCTAAAAATCTGAGGTAAGTCAACGTACTGATCCTAACCGAGACTACTTTGGTTACGTTTATTGGTGGTGGTGCTTAAACTCCCATGAAACCATTTCAATATATGATAAATCATAGACTACTCTTCAAATACAGCGCCTTGAAAATGACAGTATATGTATTTAACTTGTTTACTGAATGGGTGGTTTAAGAATCAGCATAAGATGATTCCAACTAAACGGACTCTTCCTCTCAGACGCAGTTCAAAGGTACTAGGACTAGTAGTTAGTCTGAGTCACTATGGTGTCTTGATGCATGCAAATATACATACGCATGTATGCATCTGTGTGCATGTTTGTACATAGACCCTAAGGCTGGCATAATCTGTTTGCCAGCGTATAAACTAACGCGGGAGGCCTGTTTGCACCGTTGTGGCAGGAATGCAACTCATTCAAGTGCCAATTCTGCTGAAGTACCATGAAACCATCCGCTATTAAGCACGGCTGAAGTACGGACCTAAATTTTAACTACATTTGGCGACCATTGCTGAAAAATGACACATTTGAAACCAAGTCTAGTGCCACTCTCGTTCAGGTTTGTTTTGTGCAAATAAATACAGGCAAAACTTAAAGTCATTCCCATTGTGAACACTTATCCATTCATCCAACACATGCACGTTTTTTTAAATGTTATATCAATTATATCAGTTTTGCTGAGATCGGCTTAACAGAGGAATTATCACTATTACCACTGGAAAGCCACTGCTATAATTTGTTTTGAAAACATCAACCTGAAGCAAAACATAAACCAAGTATAACTTGCACATTTTGACAGTTCGCAGATTAATCGCTGCGCTGGGTTTTTGGAAAGGACTGTGCTAAATTCAAAAACGAAATCTGTTTAAGCCCAGTGGGTGTGAATAATGAAATTGATCCGTTTTAAAAAAGAAGATGGCCTTAAAATTCAAGTTGCTATTTGGTATGCGGTGCCTCGAGACCTCCCTGAGAGCGAGAGAAGACGTCTTTGAGATATTGCAAGCACTTCACATAAAAAATTTACAATGACCGGGACAACACTGCTTCAGGCAATAGCTCACTGTTTCGCTCCAGTACAGCTTAGCCAAAATTCGTTCCCAGCAAGTGCCAAAATATTGGCGCAAATTGTTTAATGAATCTGGGCCACCCTGGCCAAAATATAACGTTTAATAGTGGCTTCTTCTGTGCTCCTAGTCGCAAAAAAGGGTCAAGTAAAACACTTTCAATGCGCGAAAGTGGTGCATGGGTTTTGCCTAGCAAGCAGACCTTCTTCTCGAGGATCGCGCAACAAAGCCTCTCTGGTTAGGTAGTGATAACAAATAAATGCACAAAAAATCACTTCCATTTGTAAGCGAACTGTATTTCATAAATCGTCATTTTTCTTTAGGACCAACATCATGGGAATCTCATGGGCATGCAGATGGTGAGCACATCATCTTATTGTCGGTTTTAAAGGTCTAATCTTTAGGAGAAGGGACAATGAGCACTAGATTTGATGGTTTAGAGCTGGATACGGGATTCAATTGGGAGTTTTGCTATTAGGACCTCTTACTTCATTTGAATTCATAAACCAGGCCTTTGACACGCGGCACTGAAAGTTGATTGGATAACGCCGATGTCCCGGCTGGCCAGCAGTCTGCAAATATGCTTAGAGAACGAAATTCCGGGCGAAGCGGTAAATATTTTTCGTCCGTGTTTTACTATTCTACATATTTCCGCGAAGGTATGATTACACTGTTTGAAAAACCAGGGCTTTGGCTTGCCGTTATTGTCAATAATTTTATCAAGTCTGTAAAGGGCAACTATAATGAAACAAATATTTAATCTAGATGCATTTTCTGTCTCAGGCATTGTTGAAGGTGGAACAAAGCCACAATAATCTATGCACTACCATGATGGCCATTCTCTTTTGTATTTAAATAAGTGTGCTGATGAGTAATTTATCTCTTTCTCTAGGTTAAACAAACATAATATGGTGAGTAAAGTAGAAATATTTCTATTTCACCCACCAATTTATATCGTCGAGTACTGCCAATTGGATAATAGAGATTACCTGTAGATAACCACAACTTCAGTGATTTTCGATTTGCTATTTTGAGAAAAGAAAATACCAATGAAGTAAGTAAAACGAGCCGGAATGGAAGTAACTAATTTTACTGAAATTTCATCCATTTTGTGACTTTGGAAATACTTGTAACTCGTTTATTTATTTGAAACAAGACTTTATACAATTTTGGATGTGATGCTTAGGTGTTAAGTGTAACACAAGTTGTTATCTTGGTAACGGCTAAATTCTCGCACCAAGGTACTCAAGTTTTGGTTAAGCAAACCGAGTAAATAATCGAAATGGCGTACTGCTAACTGCTGCCCGATTCCGAGCATATGCCAGACGACTAACGGGACCTCAATCGTGTTCGTGCTGGGATTTTAGAATAAAAAAATCAAATTGTCTGCGACGATAGTGGTGTGAACGAAGTACAAATGTCCGTTCGTGAATTGTAGAGCTAAGTCGCATGGCTCTGTGTAGAGCTTTGCTTTGGTATGCTCTTTGCTAAAAACCGGCGGAAAGATTTACGCGAAGATTTGTTAAAGAATGCACGTGCGGTTGATAATTCCAAAGAAATTAACTGCATTCTGGATATTTTACTTTTAAATAGGCCAAAAGACTTGTGTTAAACGAAACTGAATGCTGTAGCCTGGGTAAACAATACGTTATGTAAACATTTATGCGTAGAAGTACTCTAACTATAAAAAATACATTTTTGAATATTTTCATGGCGGCCTAGGCGTTTGAAGGTCACTTAAACTACAAAAACCCTGAATTTTACTGCTTGATTGGAGACATGCGTTTAGCGCAGAGTCACAAAGTCCATCTGATCGTTGGTAGGCCTCTCTTCTAGTGTCCCAACCAGGGAAGGTTTTCTGGTATTCACTCTACGTCGTGTGCGAGAGGGAGAGAGCGGTGCTTCCATAAAGTCCAAATTTACCATTAAGCAGGTCGGCAGATCCGCAGTTCAAAGAGGTATCACCCATATCTGGATGCAGGTTGGAGCATTGGTTATGAGCACAAAGATCATCACATTCAATAGGAATTTCGTGCGTTCCTGTAAAAAGGAGTGAAGTGGCACAAGCTAGGCTCATCAAAAATTTCTTATGAATATTTTTTGATCTTTGAAGGAAGTTTTTTCTTATTTGAGAAGAAAATTCTATGCAGCCCTATGGTAGGCTGGATTTGGTTTAGTGGCAACATTCTTCTTGATCGAATCCAACATTTTTAATGCATCACATTTAGGACGGTTGGCTCCGAAGCACCAAACTAATATACTGAGCTTTTGACTACGCTCTCTAGCCAGTGATAACCCCTATTCGCTTTACAGGAAATCATTGCTACTAGGAGTAGGAGATCTTTTATAAACTCTATCAAGACGCATTTTACAATATTAGATGAAAAGCAAATCGCAGGATCACTGTGATTGATAACTAGGTCAAGGGTAAAGACATTTTTTTATCTTCTCCATTGGCTTAGAAGTTTTCCGGAGGAGAGGATAAGGAATTCAGTCTAGATTTAATTCACTTACCTGCTTTGGAAGTTGCATTCTCGAATAGCCAACGTACCGAGAATGACAGTCAAAATACTGTTAGCTACAGTGCGTACACGCTGGGCATCAAGATATACAAAGTCATTCATCATTTAATTTGGCTGTGATTAGGTCAAAATGATTTCGGGTTAGTATTCAGACATGTGTGGGTGAAGATATGTTACGCAGCATAAATAATTAACGCCTTAATGCAAAATCACTCTTTTAATAGTTATTTGAATGAGTTATTGCCAATAATTATTTGCACTTACACCTCATGCTTGAAAAATACTTGCCCTGACAGAATGCGAGTTTGACTATCCAATATTTTTCCTTTGAAGGTATCACTTAATACATTGATGTGGTTAGAATTTTATTCAACCCCTTTGGCTAATTTGACGAAATAACTCACCTACATTAAGTTATTATGGTCCGTTATGATGGACTTTAGACCAGAGGTCTTTACCACTGAGAGCTTAAGTGGACTGGAAGTACGGGGTCTGCGTACAAGCTTGCTGGCCGGAGCGGCCATTCGTGTCCATTTATGCAATTTTGAATTTTAATGCGTATCAGGACATCTAAAGTTTGTGACAGTGGAAATTAAGATCAACGTAAACGAGAATTCGTATTTTGAAACATCTTGAAATGTTTGGTAACCAGGCGCAAAAAGACAACAATAGAAACACTCTAGAAAATTGGAAGGGGAAAACTTTTCAGGAGCTGTAAAAATTCCCATACTTCTAGGCTCTTAGTGAACAGAGCTTAATATCAATGGTCTGAGAACCGAATGATAAGAGATTAAGTGGGTTTATGTTAACTTGTATACAATTGGAAGGAATAGTATTTGACTACATCGCCGCATTACAGCCTCCACACTGTTTTGTCTATTTACAATAATTAAAATGACATTATTTACATTTCGTAGGTTAACATGAGTACACAACTACCCAGCTAGTAGTAATACTCATTCCGTAGTTGGTTTTCATCGTCATAGTAACGTAATTTGTCCTACCTCAAAGCAGAACTTATGATTACATTTCTAAATGTCACAAAGCTCTATTTCAGTCCCTTTATTGAAGAATATCACGAGATTATGCCTACAGCTATAAATAACTATAATACATTAATCATAAAGGCAATGGAAGCTTAAATGATCAACAACTGCTGGCACTTCTTCTTCCGCTGCCGCCATTACCGCCATTAACATCTTCGCTCTTGTCTCAATTTTGATTCAACGGGCGGCACCCACATCCCCACCAGGGCTGTCACAATTGGCTTAAGCACCTGACAGTAAGTTTCTGCTTGCCTTCGTGTAATTACTGCACCGTTAGAACCAATACAACTAGGTGAATGCCTTTTCCTAACCTTTTTTACAACCCGGTTTTGTGTTGACTGCATGGCCAGTTGATCAACTAATTTCGCAAGGAGGCAACAGCAACGTCAATGTCAGCGAAACGAGCGAATTTTGACGAACTTACTTGGAAGTAGTAGCAGCTCTATAAGCGCCGCAAGCCGACGATAGTACCACTGATTTAAACAAGAGGAAAAAATGCAGAAAAAAAGGCATGAAGGAGCACAAAAATGCACATTAATTGTTGTTAGTAATTTACAAAAATGGACAGTCATAGGGGTGCTACTGCAGAAATTTACCCCTTATACTGCAGAGTAAGGGAAAACAAATGGAATAAATTTCAAACTGTTTCCAACATTTCCTACCATTTGATGAAACGCCTGCAATTTCTTACTCTACCATGTAGTGCGAGACTCACCGGTCTCCTCTACCCCGTTTGTAGCATTTCTAGAGCAGTCCGGTTGATTTGATTTTGACATCTTTATTCAGAGGGAAAGATCGGGAGGAAAAGTACAATGTTTAAAGAAGGGAAGAACCGCAACCACAACTAGGCATGGAAGGCGACGACCCCCTCACAAGATTCGAATTTCCAGGTTGCCTCCTCCCTGAAATGCTCATTAAAACAACATAAGTATTACAACCAATATAAACTGCTATTAAGTCCTTCGAGTATTCGTAGTTTGAGGGTTGACAATTCAGTTTTCAGTTAAATATAGAAAAGAGGAGAAAATAAATTTCCGAGATATCTGAAGTAGATGTCTTGACTGCAAATAAGCAATAAATGCCATCAACATACTTAAAAATACTTTCACTTCCAAAAACTCTTTTAGTGGGCCATAGTGCTTTCAATAGCCTTGATGTTAAAAGAATGCACCCGAATGGTTGAAAACTCTCGTGGGAGGCAGTAACAGTCCCCAGTATCATTATTCCCAAAAAAATATATTCTTAATAGTTCTACGAAAATAATTATGTGGCTACTTTGTAAAACTAACAAAGAGATCCCTCAAGTAGACTTTCGACGTAAATCTTTTTCTGTCATCATAGCCCTCGTTGTGTAACGGAGAGAGGCGTCGACTATCAGTTTTCTCTCATCATAGTGAGGCGTGCAAATTTAGTCGTAGAACACCGCAGGGTATTAACGTACATAGATCATACTCCTGTAGTTTCATACCGAATTCCCGACATCTAAGACTAGACACTTAAATCCCCTCTTACATATTATTATTATCAACACGAGTTTTGTACAAGGAAAGTAGAATGTCGTCGTATGCTTATTGTTTCGCTTCAGACTACACCGCTTAGGATACAACACTTTCTTGCAATTCCTAGTTCAATGCGCTGGCTTCGAACAGAACAAACTGCACCAGCGTCCGTCTCTTAAGGTTCTGATATCCTTCTTTTAAAGCGATACCACAATTAAAAGAAACATTTGTCGAAATGTATCCAAGCGTTTTTGTTTACTGTTCCACCTCTTCATTCATTCTGTATTTAACAGGATATGCAGAAAGATGTATTACAATGGGGAAGTTGCGCATTTTTTGCTAGTAGGGTAAAGTACACTCTCACACTAAAACGAGTTCTCACACATTTCCTTTGTCCGGCGCACAATGAGGAAACGTATAACCGGATATTTTGTTCTCTTCATTCTTCAAATAATTCACCTTTATGGTGATCTAAAGTGTTTGCAAGAAACGTTCAGCGCTGGCGATACCCATTAAAGATGTATCCAAACAAACAGTGTGCCAATTACTTTTATCACTCTTTAGGTTGCTAATGATAACCACTACCAATCACAGCTCTTATTTCATTTGTGCCTTAGCTCGAGGTTCACAATACTTACTCCAATGCGGCTGCAATGCGATGACTTCTTACCGTCGGAGGCCTCCGCCGTGGATTAAAAGGAGACAAAGTGGCCAAGCATGGTACACAGTGAACTGAATGGCTCCTAATGGCCCCACTCATTACTCTACGGCAAAGGAGGATATCAGCTGTTCAACCTGGTATCATTCTCGCCCCCTTCATAAAATATTCGCCTAAATTTTTGATGCTGTTTGAGTACTAGAGTACCATAAGTTACATTTTTACTCTGTAGCATGGTCTTTGAACCATGTTGGTAACTTTCCACCTATTCTATATGTTATTACTAAGTGTATTCCCACACCACTTTGCCTTTTTGCGAGTTTAGCCAAGTTGTAATATTTATGGTGTTTTTTTGTTTTGTTCAGAGAGGAGGCGGGGAAGCGAAACCAGCTTCGTGACATAAGAGTCGACGTCCTGCAAGCCTGAGAGCGGTTACGTGTCCACACCCCCCTAAACTCCTTACTAGTTTTCCCCATTTTACTTGCCCCAATAAATATGCTAAAAGCAAACCAACCCGAATGTTCCAAGAGTACGAGGAACAGGAAAGAGGAGACCTACGTGCCTTGTCCTACAAAGTACCCAATACAACTCTCCACGGTGGAGTACAGCGGTGTTTAAAGATTCAACATTTTCAATTAAATCCACTGTAATACGATGATGAAGGCCACTTTTGTACTTTGAATAAGCCCCCTTGTACCTCGCTGGGTCGGCTGGCCTTTTGGGCCATGCCAATAGCCCAGACACCTTCTCCGTGCTGAACATATATTCTGCCCGAGTATTGTGTCTTCTTTCGTCTTAAGGGAGTCTCGGGACGCTACATTGGTGGCAGCGGAAAGCGAACCCGATCTTAAAGGACATGCATCCTGATTCTCCACTTCTGCGTGACAAGCCTTAGTGGAGTGGAAGAAGTACATATGCTACGGATGGGAGAATGGCGATGACCCCTAACAGAAGGGTTGATGCTGACGTCTACCTTCGGCATCTCTCCCAGTCCCGTGTTCTGCAGAAAAGCTATTAACAACTGAAGCAAAACTAGCCGTGAACCATCTGGAAGTTTCTTTACGGACTTTCCCTACTGTCCCCCTTGGAGCTCTTTTAAATCCCCGCCTTACCTACACAAATCTACTTTTAGGCCAGTGTTCCTACATCCATCCATGGGCACGCATGAGGGCAAGCGCAATTCCTAAACCAGATTAAACTCTAGATTTAGTTAAGCTGCCAAGATGGATCAGTGACGTTGGGGTCAAGTATCCCCTCAGTTGCACGCTAATTTGGTGACTGGCACGGTCGGCTCGTGGGTGTTTCTTTACTGCACCGACTACGTTGTAATGCCTGACGCGTGAGGTTGATCTGCGGGAGCGCCTGGAACGATGCTCAAAAGAGGAGGGAGTCTATGCAATATGATAGTGGTTTATCCCTCGGTAGTGGTGAGCCGCCACTTTTTTACTTTGAATTAGCCCTCTCGTACCTCGCTGAGTGGGCTGGCCTTCAGGCCATGCTAGTAGCCCAGACACATTCTCTGCGCTGAATATATATTCTGCCTAAATATTTTGCCTTATTTCATCTTCAGGGAGCCTCGAGACGCTATGCTACAAATTGCGATTCACATTACAGACATACCTACTCATAATTATGTAAAAAGCAAATAACGTATCACAATTGTCGTTGCTTGATCAAACTATCGGACCCTAAGTATAGTCAAATCGAGTAACTTTTACAAAAAGAGCTAACTGTACCACCACACTTCACTGGTAATTATTGTAGCGCAACCATTGTGGTTCGAAAGCAAGGATTTTATTCTGACTCAGATTTAGCATAAAAAATGAACTAGATATGCGCAGCAATAAAGTAAAAGAAAAGTTTTTTGCCTGCCTTCATTCTTAAACATCACTTTTATAAGGATATTTTATTTTAAATAGCGAAAGGCGTACTCCTTACAAGATTCTATGGTCTACCAAGAGTAACAGGTTGATATTTATGAACATACACCATCTGGTATAAACAGAAAAGTCAAATGAGGCACAAATTGCAGCATTGTTGGGATCACAAAATACGTCTTTTAACTTTCACATGAACATTTAATCCAAACTTGCCATCCAGGCTCTTGGTCTTAAAGGTTGAAATTGTTTTTCTTCTCAAATGTTCAATTGTAATGTAGGCAACAAATACCGCGCCGTTTGTTAACAATCCAATTAGAATTGTCGACCGGGAGGGCGGTGGTGTGCAGTTCATGCTCTTTGGTCATGTGTCCTGTGCAAACAGCAAGTAACAACAATGAAAATAACGCTGGTGGAATAGCTGATGAAGAAACGGAGGCAGTTGGTTTTCATGAAAAGGATGATGCCACCAATACTCAGTTTATAATTCCTAGTTTTGGAACTCGGCATCATAGTGCTGACAAAAGAGATGGCGCAATGAAAGTAGACCTAATTGAATTTCCGAAAAACAGCCGAAAGAGGAATGTTTCGCATAGACGCATGGACGAATCCGAACTTTATATACTAGAATGCATAAAGCAGAAACGAATCCCAATTGAGTCCTACATCAAAAACATTAATAAGAAGTCCCTCACGCTTTGCTATAGCAATATCGATCCTGAAAACTTCCTGCCCTTATCGCTAAGCTTGGGAAGAAACCAAGCCATCACCACCCTGGATCTCAGCCACAATTGGTTAGGCGATGAAGTATGTTTAGTGTTGCAAGAATCCATGGGTGCATTGATAGGGTGTCAATCTTTTGTGTCAGGTTTTATCTGAGAATTCGAGCTTTGTGAAACTCAGTCTGGCGGACAATCAAATTACTAGTAAAACAGCTGAACAGTTTTTCGATGTGCTTTCCTTGATGCCGAATCTCATTTCACTTAATTTGAGCGAAAACTACCTCGACGATGCGTCTGCGGCCTACATCGCTGATCTGTTACTGGTTTATTTGAGCTTCACTTCTTATTCCGTTGTCTTTTAAATGAGCTTAAATCGACTTCGGATGGTGCATAACTTCATGCTTCTTTGTTTGGGTTTGCTACTATTCCTAGCTTCATGTTTTGGTGATACAAATTGCCATCTGGACGATGATGACCTGAAAAGTAATTTCGATCTTAAACATTTCAGGCGAGTCCTGCACTCCACAACCTAAACCTTTCAAGAAATAGATTTTCAGAAAACTCGACTTCGCACTTTGGTAGAGGGCTTGCAGATACAGACAGCCTAAAAGAGCTAGACATAAGTTGGAATCATATTTGCTGCAGCGGAAAATCTATGAAACAGTTTGCCCGGGGTTTGGCTGTATGTACTTTAGATGTTTTGAATTAAACAGGCAGTATTTAAAAACTTACTTAGAATTAGTGCCTACATTTTGGTCATACCTTACACCGGTTTTCATTTGCTTCCCATTATTTATAGCATTATCTTACTAAAATTCGAGTTAATGTGTAAAGATTTGGAAAAAGAATCCGTAAGTCGCCTATTTCATGACTGCTTACTAAATCAAACTGCACTGAGTGGGCGTATCGGTGGTATGCTTATTGAAAAAGACTAGTTGAATATTTTCATTCTGTATCTATATGTGGTAGTACAACCAAAAGATGGTTAGCTAATTGCGGTTTTTTTATCAATAATTTGGTAGGTGTCAAAGCTGGAAAAATTGAACTATTCGTTTAACCAAATAGGACCCACTCTAGGATGTAGAGAACTTGTACAAGGTCTAAAAAATAACCGGTGTTTGCAAGAACTTGACCTAAGGTACTGACAATTACCATTTAAAATTCTTTTAGCTGCTCTTAAAGTAAAACTTCTAGATTAGCTCCTATTCTGGTCTCAACTCGCCATTTCTGACCCAGCTATGCATCTTTAAAGCCTATGGTCTTCATTTATTTGAATGGTTGTTATGCCCTTGCATTTACGGTCCCCACACTTGATTGCGCTGGACAATCTTATATGTGCCTGTTTTCATTCACAAACGACTTGAAATATTAACTAATGTTACATTCCTTACTTGGTGACTTTTCGTCGCTAGATCCCACTTTACCTGTTAATATAGCTGTTTTACCAAGCCATTGGTACCCCTTAAAATAATGTCCTTAAGTTGAAAGTTGGCGTTGCTAAATAGTGTTAAACACGAGTTGATATTGGATGCCAAGAGCACGTTTAATCCAGATCCGAAGTAAACTTCGTCGTTTTAAATGAAGATTCAGTATTTTGACGATACATGTGCCTTCTTCAATTTAATTTTAGTGGTAACCTGATTTCACCTCAAGGATGTGTGATTTTGAGTAAAGCCCTCGCAGCCAATAAGCATTTAAGCAAAATTAATGTAAGTATATTTCCTCCATTTCATTTTATATTCGCAACATGTCTGTATGTTTACTGTTAAAACCAATAAGTAGAAGGACTGAGCCAGTTGCATGCTCTAGGGCGGCTGGAATATCAGGGCCAGCCACCCAACGGACTCGCGAATTGAATAATGTGAATTTAAAACCAAGCTTATGATTGCTAACAAGTAATTTTGTTTTGTTCTAAAATGATGTGAGCAATAAAATGCCATAACTGAATGTCGAACCCTTCCTTTAGAGGAAGACTGCTGGTAATTGTCTTTAATTTTGTGATAATTTCTGGACTTTCCTGCATTTATTTTAGTTTGCAAGAAACCCATTCCAGAGTGCCGGTTGCTTTGCTCTACTTACAGGAGCTCTGAAGAATCGTGGTTCAAAGTTAACCGAGTTAAACTTTGAGGTAAGGTTTGCCTTTGATTGCATTATTCCCACAACAGAAATCGTTGCATGATTAAAACGAAATCCGTGACAGCTACCCTTGTCATTCTGGCACTTTGGCATATGGTAGTTTTACTTAGATTGCACGAAATCTGTTCTGTAATTCTCCCGAAATTTAATAGGTCTTTTCTTGTAGATAAGCTGTTTAATCACTCCAAATCTAGCGTGAATTTAATCTCTAACAACAATCCTACCTAATTTTAATTTAATGTCCTACTTTGTGTTAAATTTGTCTTCAGTATCTCACGTTATAACTTAAACCAGCTTTTTGTTGAAGCAGTTTAAGTTGCGTTTTATGATTTATTTCCTTATTCCCACTAGGATATCGTTGTGAATGATGATTTTAAGATCCTTGTGGATAAGTCGTTCAAATTGCTTCCTAATTTGCGCGTCATCCATGGATCAAAGTTGACAGTTAATGATTTAACTACCTACTCTCTGAAGATGTACGCCCCTACAGGCACTCCGCCGAAAAGATGGCTAATTGCGATGCACCAGCTTCAGAATAAAACCAACCGTCCCCTTTTGCCCTTCCTCATAGAGGCGGATATGGATAAGGACATGAAGTTGTCACGGTGGGAAACCACTAAGGCACTCGAGGTTAGCCTTTACTTGGTGTTTCATGTGAGCAATATTGTTAATATGGCCGTGCTGCTAGTGTAAATCTGGACCGCCACTCACGGGTGCCTTTATGTGTTTCACTTGTTATCTCATATGTGTATCTGCAGGAATTTGGCGCACTCCTTGGTTAAGTAGGTTCTTCATGGATGCAGCGGAAAGCGAATGTGGTGAGCACTTGGTGTTTGTAACACACATATAGGAGTGCTGAGGTACTTTGGAGGTAATAAATAATAAATCCCCACAAGCAGTGCTCTAGTATAACAACTATATCAACAGAACTGTTTTTACTAGTATCTTTTGTTTGAAATACTTCAAAAAGCAGGGAAAGCATTATTATAAAGCTTTTATTTCTGTGGGATACCATCATACAGATTGCTAATTTGTACCGGTGACAATTACACATAACTCCAATTGCATAGATCTTGTCACATTAATCAGGTGTAATTTCGCATTTCCGAATCCTTATTAATGAGACACTCGATCCTATCAAAGTGAAAAGTCAATTCTAAAAAACTGGTCTCAGTTGCCGTAACAGCCATCTGTCCTTTGCTCCCTTGTAAAAGAACTGCGCGCAGCACCCACCATTACCTCTAGAAGCATTATAAGGCACTGGTATGGACCATAACAGCCTTATTCAAGTGGACTGGGCTCAAACGGGTGGTGGGAATGGTTACTATATAATGATTTTTCAATACCTTAGAAATGATTATATACTTTGCAGATTTTAGGTTAGTACATCATCTGTTATCAAAATGAAGATATTTATGTAAGGAGAATTTCAAAAGGCTGGTTGATGCCCCTCAGTGTATGCACTTCAAGTACTAATTCCTCCTAAGAGAATCATAATCTGGATTATTTTCTCGGGGTGTCATCTTAGTTTTGTTTATTATTGTCACAAAAAAGGGTTTAATGCCTTCAGTGGCGATATGGATAGAGTCAGCGTAGGGGACTGATTGTATACCTAATGGGATACAGACACTGCCATTTATAGTGTCCCTCGTTCTGGAATACGATAGTAGTTCGATTGTTTTACCCAGTTTAATTCAGCTAGGTCGCCATTAGAATACTCTGTGGTCACTATTAATGACGAGATCAATCCATTGTTACAATATTATATTGCAGAACCTATTCACATTCTTTTCGGTTAACAAAAGGCATATAAATATGAAAAAACTTATTGCCTTTTATCTCCTGACCTAAATCGACCTTATACATAAGCAGTCTTCACCAAGGAATGTTATCTTGAGAAAAGTCCCCTTTTAGCGGACGATTTTTGTATTTCTTAATGCGCCTACTTCGAAAGTGGTGGTAGAACGTTCTTACCTTTTTTATGCCAACCTTTCATCGGTGCAATGAAATTAATCATCTCCTCTGCCTCAGCTGTACTTCAGGGTATGTAACCTTTGTTTATCTAGTCATTCTGGCCCCCTCCGACTCAATTAATGCCATTGCCTTGCACTAGGGTTCCAGTTACGAACAATTTGATGTAAAAAACAATCTTAGTGGATTGATAAATGGCTTCATAAAAGTTATTTTCATTTATGAAACATGTTTTTGCATTGTAAGTACTTAATAGTTAAACATGCAGTATTTTTCTTTAGCCTTTGGCCATTGGATTAGCACCCGCAGAGTTACAGGGTCTGCTCAAAGAACTGGATCCTCATGAAGAAAACGAAGTGAAAATAAGGTGAGAATACAAAACCCACTCACACTACCAGCCAAAGAGATAAAAGCTTGTTCTGTGGTTTTTCCTGACCCTATGTCCTTTTAGGTCAGATTTTGTTTACTCAGGCGTTTATTCACGGTATGATTTTTGGGGCTATCTGTTAATACTGCAGCTGATATTCCTCTCGTTGAATAATGTACGACTCTTATTGACAAATTTAGCTATTAAAAGGGAATTCGATGGTACAATCCTAATCTGGAAGTCTCAACACAATGCTTTCTTACTTGGAAACCTGATTTATACTGGTGGGTTAGTTAATTCAGTTTGAGGCAATTCACATGAAATATTCACCTACACCAAGTTGGAGAGGAATCGAAAACTCTAGCGGTTCTATCTTAACTTCACACTGAATATTGTCATTTTGAATCACAATTTTCCAAAATTTCCGATAGATAATTACGTACGCCTCAAGTTTGGGGATTTTTATCGTCATGTTTGAATAACTAAGAGCAACATGACGATCTTGGCCATGAGGTAAAATTACATGATGGGTGGTGGTTTTAGAGTGGATTAGTTGAGGCTCTAATAGCGAATTCAAATTTAGCCCAGAAGCATTGCACCTTGCCCGGCGCAGGTACAAGTGCCACCGAAGTGTGGCGCATGGGCAATTGCGCCCGGGCTCCGGCGCGTGGACGGCGCATCAGTTGTCTTATAGCGTCAGCAAAAGGCGAAGCTGACATTTCGGTAATGAAGTGCTTTAGACTTTTAATGCGTAAATACTTGGGTTTTTTAAAATACCGTGCATCTTCGAATGAAAGCACGTATACGTCCTGAAACCTACTATGCGGCAGGATAATCACATATGGCTGAGAAGTTATAATAGTCCGTATTTAATTATTCTGGTTTGAGGAGCAGTGCTGAATGCGTATTTTCGCGAAAATTGTAAGTATATGAACATTCTATTTTTTCTAGGATCGTCTAGTTACGATTGGTAGCATTAATTTTACCGTACATGGCAATCTATGTCAAATTCTATGTTATATCTAGCGACTTCATTGAAAATCCATATCCAAAACCCGGACATCACAAACCGACGGACGGTGAGGAATCTAGAAGGGAGGCGCCAGTAGGACATGATGATGTTGACTCCGTACGTTCTCTTGACAGTAAAATTGCGCGTTATGCTAAATCTTAGTGTAGAAATCAGCATCTTCATATCCACCGATCTAAGAGCAGTTGATTGTTAAGCATTTGAAAAAAAATAATTTCTTTGTCACAATTAAATGCGGACTTCCGAGTCCCTTTTTGGAAATTGAACCGTACGTGGGTCCAACTCCTTTGCGCATTTTGAAAATGTCAAGAGCAAGCTCTTTATTTTTTTTAGAAAAAAACCTCAAGCGAGGCGTGAGGCATGATCTTTCTTTCGAAGTAATCTCCATGTGTCTTTTTCGAGGGCCTCCTTTGCTCGACGCACAAAGGGGTGAATAGGATCAACTCGTACTGCGCATACACATCTCCACGCTGTACTAAGCGTGTAGCTGCACATAATACACACCTATGCATCGTAACCGAGTTATTCATAACTAGGCCTTTATTATTCCACGACCTATAAATAAGTTAAAGTTGGAATTTCGACAATCTAGAATCCATTAAGGTATTTTAAATATGTGTTAATATTGCACACTAAACGATAATTTTGACTCAAATATGTAAAACCTTTGAAATGCATTCAACCGATTCGCATTGAGGATACTCAAAAAAATCCACGTGTTCGTTTTTAAGCTCTCGAAGTATTTCTTGTGCTGAGTTAAATTCTATGATATACAAAATTACCTAAATATAGGACTTCACACTAGAGAAACATTTTCAGGAACCTAAAATCTAGTTAAATCACTTTTATCACGAAATTCGTGGAACACTAGCCATCGTCGAATCATGCAACACCTAAAATGCAGTTGGCTTTACCTCCAACTTTCCCATAAATTACCCAGGGATGTTTACACCACTTGGCAAATCTCCGCTTGAAAGTGGGCTTGACAGCATCATTATAAAACGACAAAATTTGGCGTCCTGTAAAATAAGCACACCTAAACTCCCACCCACTCCTTTGTGATTACGAGCCATCCCCAACTTCGCGAACGTGCTCGCGAGGAGCTTGGCAAACCCGCTTCAGCCATTCCAAACAGAGCCACTGGAAGTTGACGATATCCGTTGGCCCCACGCCCACCTATGCGCACGACCCAAATCTAAAACTCGTGACCCTAGCCTTTTGGACGACCAACATCGCATTAATTTTGACCCCACATGGCTAGAAATGATAAACTGAGTGTTAAGGCAAACATCCCGGTAACGTTGTCAGCATATGGAACCTAGTAAAGATGTCCGCGTCTTCGTGGCAAGTAGAACGCGGCAAAACATCACCGCACCCCTTTAAGCGAGCGATCGTGCTGCTAAACGGAGCGTGCTATGGCTCACAGTTAATGCAATGAAAACAAACCACTAAAGCACTTAACTACGGTGTCCAGCACTGAGTTATGGAGAAAGATCATTTATTCAAAAAAGGCTTCAGAAGCCCAGAAATGATGGCAAAGAGCTACATACACCAAAAGTGAATAGAAGATACTACTGGACGATTCCCCTTTGGTTTTCGTGGTTTTAGCGGCGATTGAGAACCTTTTTCACAGTAGTTATGATGTTGGAGGCATGCGAGGTGCACGCAGCCTCCAAACATCCAGCATAAGGCATGGGAACATCAGCGCCGGTCACGCGGTAGACAGGTGCGTCCAGGTGGAAGAACGTTTCACCTAAGCACGAGACAATTTTAAAGAATCCCAAGTTTTAAATGAAAGTCAAGGTGAATAAACGCAATACTCACTCTCCATAATTCTGGCACAGATTTCAGCGCCAATACCACACGACGGCCATGCACGATCCACTGTTACAAGGTGATGGGTCTTTTTCACCGAGTTAAAAATGCATTCATCATCAATGGGACGAAGGCTGCGAAGGTTAATTACCTCGCAATTTATGCCCTCCTTGGCCAGTTGATCGGCAGCTTCAAGGCAGTCACCAACGCTGATAGAGTAGGAAACAAGGGTGACATCAGAGCCCTCCCTTTCGATTTTAGCCTTCCCAAAAGGAATCAAAAAGTCGGGATGCATGGCTTCGTCGGAGGTGTCCATAGCGACGCCATACATCAATTCATTTTCCAGGGATACAACTAAATGTTGCATGAGGGAATTCGAAAACTGTCTGTAAAACCACAAAAGCTTTGCAAAAAAAGTTACCCACCTGGGTCATCGTCACGAATACCGGCCTTGGTAAGACCCCTTGCGTCTTCAGTGCTGTAAGGCGCGACAACCTTGAGGCCAGGGCAGGAAGCATACCAAGCAGCGTAGTCTTGACTGTGTTGGGCGGCCACACCAGCAGCTGCACCATTGCCACCACGGAAAAGGACCGGAACGTTTACCTGCGTGAAGAATGAGGATAGACAATAAGATGCCACTCTATCATGCAGGTATTTTACAAGACATTCAACAAACCCGCCCATTGGACATATAGTGAGTTTTCGCAGCGGAGTTGATAATTTGATCAATGGCTTGCATAGCAAAATTAAAAGTCATAAATTCACAAACTGGTCGTGAGCCGGCCATGGCGGCGCCAACGGCGATCCCGGTGAAACCCATTTCAGAAATGGGAGTATCTATTACTCGATCGTCGCCGAAAGTCCTCCACAAATTTTTGGTGACCTAGAACTGAGTTAAAAGATGAGATTATTCAGACCTTGTAGGCACCGTCATACTGAGCGACCTCCTCGCCCAAGATGAAAACATTCTTGTCTCTCTCAATTTCCTCCTTCAGGGCACTATTAATGGCCTCCCGAACAGTCATTTTCCCGGCAAGAAGGCTTTGTGACGTGGACATAAATCGCCCACTTCGTAAAAAGGAACGAGTAAACTACAAATTTGCGACAAAAAGACTTATTACCTTTGAGGTCGTAGCAGTAGCGAGCATCATGAGTAAAGGCAAGCCACGAAGGCGTCAGTGGCGTCACGAAGTACGAGGTGGGCGCAAGCCAATTGAACGCCTGTTTTATTTAAGTGTATTTAAATGGTGAATTTTAATTGCAAGATGTTAACACCTTCAAATACTAAAAAAATGAAGGCCGAACAGTGTGTCAAACAATTAATTATTTCCTAACGATTTTGAAGTCAAAAGTCCCCTGCAACACAAATGTGTAAGAGCAAGGAATATTTTACACACTAATTATTATTTCGAAATTTATAGATTGCACTAGCAGCACACCTTATGAATTATGATATGGTCACTGTGAGAATAATATCTAAGGCTAATTTTCTCACTTAGAGTTGGGTAGGACGAGGTTTCTCGCATAAATCGGACCGTATTCTAAATGCAATCCTTCAGTTAAATGTAGGCAAATTATTCCTAGCAAAAGTAGAGCAAGCTCACCGAAATCAATTGCAGATAACTTGTCAAACCTTGCAAAAGAGGGCCACTTTCATTCCCGCTTTTCTAATAAAAATGTTTACCAGCAAATTCTGGGCATAGTAAAACGGGTGCCTAAGGACTCCTTAGATAACCTGTGAATTGAAGGAACGAATTGCAAAAATTAGAGCCATTACGCACTAAACTCGGGGCTCTGCAGACTTAATAAGAAACCTGTAGCACACCAAAATTCCCTTTGAGACTGGATAAGACATAATACTCGAAGAGAACATATATTCATCTGGGTCAGCCAAACCGTCGAGATAAAGTAGCAAAGCAAAGCAATTCTTCACCAGAACTGACCGCTAAGCAAACAACTGACGTACACAACACTTTTTTTTCGAAATGCAATAACTTGGGAGACGTCTGTTTGGAAGTCTTATAAATCGGATCATTTCTTCTTAAACAGATGGTAGGAAGGCCTAAACTTAATTTCAAAAAGCTGTATTGTTTTGCGTAGGCTGATTAATTTTATTTTCAAGTACCAACACTGAATACCGTTCAAAAGTCGGGCCGTTTTGTGTATTCTTCCTGTATCTTCGATTCTCTAAGTCTTTCCTTACACGTAAGAGATACCCTAATTGAATCGTTATCATTACCAAACAGAAAAAAAGTTTTTCGAGGAATTCACAGTGGCATTTTATTCTCCCATATCGCTAAAGCTTATTCGCATTCGTGATTGTAATACGCCCATAAACTCTGTATTAAATATGACTACAGCGGCCATACTTTTAAAGTTTATTTGGGCACCTTTAATTAGTGACAGCCATATAAACAGTGAAAAAAATGGGTTGTAGGCATCACCCCTAGGTGTCTGCAAACTATCTCTCCCGATGTTGATTTTGCTGCATTTCTATCGCACCACTTAATCCCCCTTTACGCGTTGTCCCACTTCCTTGCTTTTAATTTACATAAATTTTTAAATAGTCTGATGTATTATGCATCAAATTTTGGTCCTAAATCTAGTGTAAATCCGTATAAGAGATGTGTCAGAATTATTTATTTTGAAGGCCATACGTGGTTTAGTTAAACAATCTACTTAGGGCGTTAGGTAAGTTTAAGTGGTCGCTCCTGCAGACTAAGGTGTTAGCGGCCTTTCTGTGCTACCTTTCTTTTCCTATGTAAATAGTGGTTCGTTATGTTCAAGTAGTACCTTATTTTTTTCCTTAGGCATATCAAATGCTTCTTAAAGGTATGATTGGTATTTTACGAAATATTAATTGGATTCTTTCGTGTTTAATTTAAATCCCGTATACGTTTATTACAAGGTATTTCTATGTTCGTTTATGCGTACACTCGTATGGTAGCCATCACTTTATTCCATTTCAATAATGCTCTCTCTTGAACCTTGACAAATGTGCATTTCCGTATTATTTCTTGCAACAATGCTACATATCCTCACACTGCCTCTGGTTGACTCCGCATTACTAAAGACAGTTGTATTAACTGGAAATCTGTTGTCAATTTTCATCGTAAGGACTTATCATAACTTAATGCGGCCTCATTTTAGTCATGCTTGGCGTTCATCATAGTCTGATTTACTCCTTTAAGAACTTGGAAGAATAGTTAGAAGGAGAAGGTGCAAATCACTTGTCGTTTTCTTTTGCTTTTCGATGTTTAGGGCGTTTACATATATTGTGATTTTCGCCTTTCACTTGCCCGTGGCGGAACATGTTCCGCATGAATAAACTGGTTAGATTTATTTAGCTTAAGCGCATTAATCCTTCTACACCCTTCCAAAGTTTGATGTGCTGTTTGGGCATTCTTTTACAAAATATCGTATTGCTGTCGTATTCAAGTCAATTTACATCTTTTTTGAATTGTGGTAATTGAGCAGCTTCATAGTAATGTGTTGATGGCACCCATTATTATGTGCCGACTGAATGTACTTAAGACTGGTCTTTTTATGTTTTAAATGTCTTTTCCAGATACCTCTTCAACTACTAATTGCGGATTCTTCATGGCTAATTAAACCGCCCTGTTCAAAGGTTTCTTTAGGTACGTATTTCTTTGTGCTTAGTTTTGACTTAAGCCTTTGGTATCGGAGATTTATTCACCACATATGTACTTAATAATTAGGTACTGAGGCGAAGCCTTCAAAATGCCTATCTTGTGCAGTACTCTACTCGTTTGTTTAACGGCAGCAAACCAAACGCTTATATCAGTTTGCGTGATTTATGCCTTGATTTTATAAACAAATCTCGCCCTTACTGCTTGTTCCGCTGTTTCAGACATCCTGATTTAGCGCCAACCAGCGCGTGTCAAGTACCAGTACTGGATGTCGAAGACCAGCCCGCAAATTTTCCTCGAGTGCAATGGATTTAGTACGCCAGAGGCAGAAGCAGCTTCAAGGAATATCAGCTTTCCTAGCCGAAATTATCACTGGTTCTGTACTTCTGATAAAACGAGCCCCCGTCCACCCGTATCTGGTCAAACTCCAGACGGTGCCACCGGAATTCTATCCACTTCCGTCACTGCCTTTTGCAGCAAAATTTTCTCTTTAGTATGTCTTTTCCTAGTGGTGCCCACCAGTCTGACGCAGATCTCATCCCTACTTACACCGTCTGTATTATTGGTGATCCGCGCTCTGGGAAGTCATGCTTCTGCAATCGATTTGTCTACTCCCATCCTGACTGGTACCAAGAGGGCCACCCGTCAGTACTCAGTGAGGTGGAATTTCGCAAACCGGTTGTCAACTCCGACCACTGGTTGTATTGGGGCACTGTCACACGTCGCCTAGATGACGAGACTAGTGTTCGATTCTGTGTGATAGAACAGACTGAGTTTATTAGTGATGCTACTTCCCTCCCTTTCTCTCCCAAAAGTCCCTCCATCCCTTCTAACTCCTGCTCCGTCTCGTACTCCTCCCACTCAACCAACGCTGTTACAGTGTCTGGAATCTCTAGCACCACCAATTTCGCTCCTTTTCTGTTCAAGGACTTGCATTCATCCAACCGCCTGCATGACTACATTCTCCGTAGTACCGCCACGAAGGTTTGCTCTCCTGGAAAGTTGCGCTACTACTGCATCGACCAAATTGGACACGAAGAACGTTACAAGCAGGAGTACTTCCCTCATATGGGCCCTCTTGAAGTTCACGGCTTCCTGGTCATCTACGACGTGAGCCGACGTGCCTCGTGTCATGACGTCCCCAACCTTCAACAGCAACAGCTCACCTTTCTCACCGATATCCTCAGTCTAATTTCCAAACGCAAAAAACCTGTTGTTGTAGTCACTGCAAAGCGAGACATCGTTGACGAACAATGTCTCTCTAATGTGACTCAGTTCCTTCAAAAGTCGGCGGATTTCCGGAAAATTCCCCTTGTCGAAGCGTCAGCACACAGAAATATCAACGTGGAGCTGGCTTTCCTAACACTAGCTCGGTTGTTGGAGAACAGTAGCAATAGCAGCAAGTCACGATCTGCAAAACTCAAACTCCTGTCTTATCAGGAAGCAACTAGGGAGCAGGACGAACATCAGAGGCGTCTGCGAGAGGCTTTTGTAAACAGGGTGTCACTGTCTCCAGCTGGCTTTCTTACCGACTGGCCGACATTCCTTTCGCGATACAGTCATCAGGGCGACGTGGCGAGATTCATTGATCTCTGGGGTTCGGATGTCGCTAGGGAGACTTTTGAACAATTTACCGCGCAGCGAAAAACGGAGACAAAGCGACGACACATGGCAAAACTGCCTGAGGCACTCTCAACCATGCTGCTTTATGTTGGTCCAGTCACCAATAAGTACGCTTGTCTATTTACCTTGGTTGTCCGAAAGTTAGAGTTAACTGTAAGTGAATATTAGCGTGTAGAGGTTCGTAAAAAGCATGTATTTGTAATAAAGATTTCAATTTAATAATATGTGCCTTCCTAGAAATCGCTTTTCTATCGAGGTTGAACTCATTATTATCAATTGATCTTTTATCATTCTGCAGACCTTGATATCTTCACCCAGATTGCATTTGAAACTGCTTATTTTCACTTGTTTCTTACCTGTCTGTGCATTGCACTTTGTGTTGATTTATTGACGTTTACTATTAGATCTCCAAAGGAACTCCTTCAACGTTTGCGTGCGCATTCCCGGTTTGACCAATTTTTTGTAAGTGAGGAGTTGACAGATGATAAATCGATTCAACGCTGCAGCACCCGTCGAAACTTCCAAGGTGACGACTCTCGAATCCCCTTCGCGTTGGCAATTAAAGAACCTCCAGACAATGGAGATTCCCCATTCATTGAGTCTTTGAAGTCGCTTGTCTTTGCTGAATCCTGGGCTACTAATATGTCAATCTTTGAGGAGTCTCTCTTGAAGTGTCAGGCTAATAGTAACGCTAGTGACTGTTTCGCGTCTATACTGCCTGGTCAGTCATTCGATCATGAACAGCTCTCCCGCGTCCAACCAACCTCTGTTCTCAGTCAGGAAGATCAGCTTGAGGTCTACCAAAAGTTTCAGGAGTGTCTTCGCCTAAATACTCGTGAAGAATTCCTCGATCTGCTACTTGAAAGTCTTCCTCAGTTTATTCGTGCTGCTTCTGCCTATTTGAATTGCCTTGGTGATACCTTTTTCGCGATGGCGTCGTCGTCGTTTCGTCAGGTACCACCTAACACGGCGCCTCAGCCTCGTTCCGAACCGAATCGTAGCCGGCCGATCTCACCTGTCAGTGAACCGCTCACCATCCCTCTACGATCTGTCCAGCTACCTCCTGCGGATATTCGACTGTGTGCAGTACTCGCTCCACCTCGTGGCGCAAAGGAACAACAGCTGGGGATAATAAAAAACTGCATCGCCTCGGATAGTCGCTATCATGCCATGGATTATATGCCAAGCGAACGCCAGACCTGCCTCGCCGGTCATCTCGACATCCTATTGCATCGAGTTTCTCAAACTGAGGCCTCGACACTGTTATTACCGCGAGGCACGATACACCGGCACTACTCTTGCTCCTTCATGAACCAGCAAGACTCGCTTCAACTCACCTTCCCTCTACCACACTGTCCGGCTTATCAGACCGATCGATGCATAGACGCGGTATTTGAGAGCCTCTGTTCCAGCACGGAGTGGAGTGTGGGGGAGGCGCAGAACAGCTTTTCTAGCCACCTCTCCTGCGTTCTCGGACAGGGGGATAAACGGCTGTCCGTGGCGGTGTGTGCAGTGTGCACGGACGTAGTAGCTGCCAACGCTGGCATTAATCTCTTTCGGGCGGCTGGGTTTGTGCCTGAAGGTGTCACTAGCCCCAGTTTGCTCACATCCCCGTCCTCCCCTTCCCGTGCCACACAGAACCTCGTCTGCTCATGGCCTCTTGCTTCAACTATTCTCACACCTGTGGATACTTTACTAACCTCCGTCATTGGCGACTCTGTGATCTCTCCTGTCTTGGGTACTGTACAGGCTTCCTTCCTCTCACATCATGAGGTAACTTTACTGTTTCTACATGAGTTTATATGATCTGAAATATGTGATTGGCTAGTCTTTGTACATTGCAAGAGTTTCTAGTTTCATCGCCTTTGGGTCATGTGAGTGGGAAGCACTTGTTCACCTATTCTTATTTCGCTTGACCGATATGGATTTCTTAATCGTAAGCTTTTCTCTTCGTCAACTTCGCTTGTTTGTAGTGGGTTTTTTAGTGAATACGCGTTTCAGATTCCTTTGCGTTTAACTTTAACTTCATCAAGTTGTTTCAAATCCTTTAATATTGTTTGAAATGGATGCATCCACTCCTACTGCGCTTGCTTTTGGTTGATTAGCAACCATCTTAGTTCCAATTTAAGTCTCTATCGTGGCTTAATCATGAAAAAAGGTTGAAGTCATCCTTTATGACGAAAATTCATAAGGCATTGACGCTACACTACGCATTCATTAGCCACACCCTCATCAGATGAACAGTTCGTTAATTGACTTTTTGGGCTGTCCGCACTGTGTTAGTCTGTTCAAATTATGTTTGAAGGAGGAGCATGAGATAGACTTGAATTGCCGATTTGTGCCTTTGAATCAGATGCTAAACATTCGTAATGTCGACTTCAAGAAGTGGGCCTTGACACAATTATTTATTTTCTAAATATTATCGACTCAACTTACTCTTTAAATTGAGGGACGAATCTCTTTTTTTAAAAAATCCAACCTGTTACGTCACTCCACTCATCTGCTGACATCCATGTCTGAGGATGATGCCATTTCGACACTAAAACATCGTAGTTAGGTTTTTTTAAGCAGGAGTTAAACCTTCGAACACCAATGTGAGCTTGTGCGCCTAAGCTAGCAGTTGGTGCTTGTGTATGCACCGATGCCTAGCGTCCAGGCGACATTACCTGTGATATCAAAACTTCGATTTTATGATTTTTCACCTACTTTCACTAAGCGTGCAACCCATAACAAATTTGCAGTAAATTTAGAAAAAAAGTAATGCAAATTACTTCACTGACATTTAATCTCTCGTCCGATCAAGCGCCTTCCTGATTTTTTGGTTTCATTGTTGAGGATGGGCTGGCATGTGGTAGGCTTCAACACAAAGGCGGTTGGGTCAGTAGACGTCAAATTTAATTTATTTGATACATGTCCGAGTTTTAAAGCTTCTCTTACGAGTTTCTTTTATGGCACAAATATTCGAATTTACAGCTTTTAGCGCTGGCTATAAATCCACGGCGATCACCGGACGTCTTCGATGGAGTGATACTCCTTCTTTCCGCCGATGAAGCCATCCCCACGTCATATAGCGCATTTCCGCCCTGCACATGCGGGGAGGTCGCCGCAGCTACGTACTGCTGTAAGTGTTATCGCGGCGCTTCCGACTGTTCCCACACTACTCCACGTCCGCGTAGCTTCTTCTCCCGTGCGACTGCGATCAAGGCGCTCGCCGAACACCTCGCGCCGATGCCACACCTCATCGTTCTGGCTGTCAGTGGTACTAATGATAGTGCTAAAATGAACATCTGCCATGGAACTGGGAACCTATCGACTCTGCCCTTCTGCTCCACGGCTGAATCCTCACCTCAAACACCGATTGCTGATGCCCGTTTAAATGACTGGCTGGTTGATGGTACAAAAACTTCAGTTAGTAAAGAGGAGGCTGAGGACGGTAATGTTAATAAACCGATCCTTGGTGGAGTTTTCCATCCTGCGGCTAAGCTTCAACCCAACTTCGTATTGGGTAGGTTAAAGCAGCCGGGTTCATCGCCTTTTTGATTGTGGTTGTAACTCATTACCCTGTCTAGAGGCAAGAAGATTCTTTACTATGCTGGCTATTTCACGTTATCACTAGCAATGCTGTCATCCAGAGGCTGCACCAAACAGCCGTTTTTTGTTCTCATGGCTCCTGCCGTTTTTCGTTTTTTTAGCTGCATTTTTGACGGAACGTAGCGGTAACTATAGCAATGTATTAAGATGGTGAAGCAATGCTTTTACATCCAACATTTCCCCCGCTTTACCCGGTCTCGATGATGTAGTAGGTTGTTTGCTAATCTACACAATACCACTTCTCACTGCTTTTCTTACCAAGCGTATGTAGTGTCATCCAAGAACGCGGCACGTTTAGTAGAACCCGGCACATCACGTCATTAAATATGAACTGAGCCATTTCGCATTTAAAGTCTATTCGAGCAGAGCTGTTTGTGCTATCTATATGTGGCTGAATAAGCTCTGCCTTGGCTTACTGATCTTCGTTACTTAGTTGGAAGCCGCCTAATGAGGCTACAAGAAACTGTAAAGAATGGTTTTCAGGGTTGTATTGTCAAATTAGCTCCACTGGCTTGTAGCTTTTGGACTGTTTCGTCAAAGAAAGCTTGCCGACCCTGAAACAGTTTCCCTTTTAACAGGCTGAGTTTATTTCGTGTGGTGAGGATTATCTAGCAATCCGTCTTTTTACCCTTACCTTTTGAATAGATAGCCATGTTAAACTCTGAGCTTAATTCAGACGTGGAAGGATACATGCGTAATTCCATCTTTCCATTATTTATATCTGCCTCTAATGCGGTCTCCCGATATTGTTGTTATTTTTATAAACATCTTGAAGTGACTTAAATGGTTCATATATCCGTATGCAGTAAATTGTGCAGCTGTAATTTTGTATAACTAATGGTTTTCTCTTTCAAGGGAGAATGAAACAGAGGATATGCCTATGTATTGTGAGGTGCTGATATGGTTATGTCAGTATATTAATTAGAGGGTATGCATGTCCAAGTTTTCCGTTTCCTATACAGCAACAAGCCGATTCACTTAGACAGGCCTTAATTGAAACAGCAAGTGTGGCCATATTCTTCACAAGAGGTATTTTTGTCAGGTATCCCATCACGCTGTCACCAACGCAGCGACTGAGAAACCGTATCTGGAGGTAGTCTTATTGCAAACTTAAACGATAAATCGCGGTTTGGTTGAATAAGCTGTTCATAATATCAGTGTCAGCCTCTAACTACAAATGGCATGCTTGCGGTCTGCTCAAATAATGTCAATTAACATCTAAGGGTCTCATAAAAGTCTTATTTACCATGTTGGAGTATCCCTTCGAGGATTTTTGGTTTAACCTTGGCACAGAGGTTTTTTGTAGTTCCCGCCTTACCAGACCATTTATAAGTGAATTGGAGAATAAGTGGAGAATTAATTCACCGGTCTATTATTTTACCACTGATGTGCTATGTAGTGCGCCTCCTTTCACACTACTACACCAAATGGGCTTTTCTTTGAACACTTGTGTGAAGAAACCATCACACACCATTCAATGGTGATTAAACATGAATTTTTGAAGCAACATGAAAATTTACTAAGAATTTGTGAGCCCAATAAATCGCTATGTCAGCAACAAGTTGACCTTTTAAGAAGGCTTGGGTATCCCCTATTGGCAGACGAAGATTGGTGATTTAATGCTTGGCTTTTGCAAAGACTGATTCAATTTTTATCGGGATTTTCCTTAGGGAATTTCTCACTGTATTAATTTTTACTGAAGTAGCGCGGCAAATCATCGTAGTGGATGTGGTCTCACCATAAACAAAGCTAACGATATTCGAATGTGACTTTCCATGCGTATTCATTTGTTCCTCTGGGCTAAAATTGACTCACACAACTCCACTGGGTTGTCAGGAAAGTGTTTTCGTGAGTAGAAAAACTTTCAGCTATCACAAATAAATAGTCGCAATGTCTTCACTATATTCCCCCTTTTATCAAACTGTCTTGCTGCTGCCCGTCTGTTGCGACAACTTTTGGAAGAGTTTATTTTCTTTAACTTTAGGTCAAGTACAGTAGCATAGTCAAATCCACAGAACCAAACAGTTTGACACTAATTTTCATGTACCATTTACGTAAACTTGATCATTTTTTGACTATTCTAATGCTATCTTCCTGTATTTGTTCTCCAGATGCGCTGTCTAGCTTTCTGTCTGCCTGCTGGACGCGTAAACTAGCCTCTGGCGAGGGAGGACGAAGGCGGTCTCGAAAGACCATCTCTCCGAAGGCGCGAGATAGTGGTGAGGGCAGCCATGGCACCATCTACGAGGGCCGCTTTCATCCCGCACCTTTGCCGGGTCGTCTCCACAGCCACCATCGTCGTTGTCATCGGCACTACTATCACAGTCGGCATCATCTCCACAGACACCATCATCATCGTCACCACCACTTTTACCGATGTAGTCGGACAGCGACTTCAAATTCTTCTGGTGGTGGCGCTTTCAGGACTTCTGAGACATCATCCACTTCCTCGCCGATGGGCTCGAACTATCGACCGCCGAAGCTTACACTCACCCTGGCCCCCTCCATATCTCCAAGAGGGAGGTACGGCCGCAGTTGCAGCCCCCCAGTACCCTCTAACATCCCACTGAAACAATTGCGTTTCTTCGATCAGGATCCCTCGGGAGGCTCGCGGTTACGGTCGAGGTAAGCTATGGAAACTGCATATTGGTGCTTTGTCAGTCTTCCGCTTTTTGAGATGTAATGATAGATTGGTAAGCCTTAGCTACGACTTCAGCTGTTGGTAGATTTCCATTCTCATTTAGGTGAGAAGGTTCATCTATTTAGTAAGTGTATGATTTCCGATTTTACTTTAACAACCTGTCTTCTTCACCTTATCTTTAGGCAGGTGTGTGTGTTTGCAGTAATGCCTCACTTTGAAGGAAGTAGAATGCGTTCAGTGATCATCCGTGGAGAAAATATACTTTTATCAGGCTGACACGAAAATGTCTTAGCTGCTTTTTAATTCTACTCTTGGTGGCTCATGGCGTAATTTATAAGGAACAAACGGGTATCAGCGTTGGTGAAATAACGTTAAAACTTCTCAAATATTCGATGGATACACATGGGTTTGCTCTGCGATTTTCTTTTTGTTTTGGTTACTTCTACTCCTCTTCGAATGAGCTAGGCAAAACTAACTGGAGAGTTCTATGATGGGCCTCGAATCTTTTAATTCTAATGTAAAATTGCCCATTTTAATAATCTAACCACTTAAAAACTGGAAACTACGTTGAAATATAGGGGTGAAATTGGGCGAAGATAAGCTGAAATTAAGTCTGTTTACAAAATTTGACATTTTTACTTTGGAGGTAGTTCTGTATCACTTGGAATGACAACGCTTAATCACTTCAATCGCTCATTAGCGTCCTGTATATGAGTGGCTTCTTCTTGTAGATCTCTGTGTTGTCAAAAAAATGATTCCACTTTTGGAACTATCTTGTCAAAACTAGAAGGTTCGTTTGCCTCCAGACCCGATGAGTGCAGCACGATTGTTGAGAGTAAGTTATTTTTTTACCAAGATAGGGCCTATTACTGATGCATGCAATACGCAACCTTCCATCGTCTGTGCACGTTGATTCGTTGACTGTATTTCCATTTAATCTGCACTTAGTTATGCCTTAAGGCTTTTACGTAAACATTACTTGATTATTCACTTCCATCTAGTTACCACAGCAAAATCTAATCGATTGAGTCACCATCTGCACTCGTTGACCTCCACCCTCGATCCTCCCACGGGATACTGTTCTTCCATCGCCTCCTCCTGTTCTCCTTGTCCCGCTGCTTCCTCGTTCCCCTCTTTGATCCCCTTCGCGTACGATAAAGCCTCCTCAGTTTCCTCCATCGAACCAGTCTTCCTTAAGTTCTCCGAGGGCTTGTCGCCCCTCCCCCCCGATGACATCGACCCTGCCACACCGTTGCATGTACTATCGTTGACGGGACGTCGGCGGCGACGTAGACGGAACGAGGCGGGTTGGCTGCAGAGGAAAAATGAAGGAAAGGACGGGGTAGAAGAGGAGAAATGGGAGAATGAAGAGATATTCCATACCACTGACGACGCCCTTCAATTCGGAACTGTCCTTCTCGTTCCCTGTCCGCATATTCACCGGTCCGCAGATAACCTACCACCGAACTCACAGGGGTGGACGGCTCCAACTATTCCTTATCACTCCATGGTCAAACAACATCCATCGGGAAAAAAGGGTAAGGTTCTGGGCGATGGCGACAACTACTTTAAGAGCTGGCCTAATTGTACCGCATGATTTGCACAATCGCGGATAAGTTCGAGGTGTGTTCTAAGATTTTGTGATTTTAATTTCATTGTGAAAAGATCCATTGCGGCGCAGAAAGTCCAAAACACCAGCAGATGAGGCGTCTGATGACTATGGTGTAATTAATTAATGAACGCACCGTGTACTTACGGTTCGAGAACTTCGGTTCTGATAGGGGACTTTACTCTTGACTGGTGATCGTGGTGTACAATCATGCACTAAAATTGAGAGCAACTGGCAATATACACGAAGTAATCACGAATTGTTGTGTTTATCAATCATTTAGATCATATAAGTGTGCTGTGTGTTTCTCAACATTGTGATGGACTTGCAATACTTCGGCGAGAAATCGGTATCTTGAAGCGCGTATTCTTTATCATTATCACGCAAACAAATAGTCCCCTATAATTGGAAATCAATTCCTCTCGATAATCGCTTGGATCAAAATGTCATCAACTTTAGTTTAACGTAAACTAACGCGTCACTGTAATCAGTTGAATAAGACAAAGAAGTCTGTGAGAATTAATGATATGGTGGAGGATCAAGGCGACGACTCTCGAACATGAGACCTCATTTTTCTCACACGAACAACCCTACCATTCAAACTATAGCCATAAGCTTGAATGTGGGACTGTCATCCAACCAAACAATAAAAGATGACTGAGATGCGTGCTAGACAACATGAGACTACATTTTTATTGAACGAACAGTACCGTTGTAATTGTTAGATTTCTCAATCCTCCATCATTCTCCCACTAAGTCTTCCAAATAACCAATAGTCAATTCCGACAAACCTCAGATATTAATTTTACTCAGTTATTAGAAGGTTTTCAGAATCGCATTTTGCAGTCCAAATGTTATCAATAAATTAGTTATATACTGCTTCTTTTTTCATACCAGATATTCTTAGGCTTAACAAATAGTTGATTATGTACCGCTTTCCAATTGCAGGCATTGACTTGGGATTGGCAAATAAGGGTGGTTTGAATCAGCATCATCACAACTACAACCAGCAGCACCAGACAAATGCAGGGGGTGCCATTCTCACGACGACATCAGTGGGCGGTGGTGTCTCCTCCTTCCTCACTTCAGGCATCCGAGCGGTCACCAGCGGTTTTGCGCGTCCCCGCGAGCGCCGTCGCTCCGTCAGTACTCCCTGTGGAGGCGAGGCGCCACTTCCCTTCGCTTCCACGACTACCAACGAGATGGCAGTGGTTGGTGGGGGTGCTGCCACCGTTACATCGGCCTCCAACACACCCTCCTCCTCCACACCTGGCTCTTCACGAGCTGCTGACTTGGGTTTTGCATGCATGCCGCCCGGGTACTAATTCAAGTGATCTCTCTTTAGCTTCGACAGCTAAAGTAATCCTAACGATTAGGGTCGGCAGATTGTTCTTTTCTCAAGTGTCCACACCGGTAGCATTGGGATATCCGGTCGTTCATACCTGTTGCTCGGTTTAAGCTTAATAATTAAATCTTTTGAGTTAATGCAGTTTTTTCGTCGGCAGCGGCGGCAATTTTTCCACTCATTCCAACATTTCTGAGTTATGCACATTTCACAGGCCCATTAGAAGTGGGTTTTTTTTTCACTGCGTTTTCATGCGTCAACCTTATTTCCGCACACTTTTCTTCAATGTCTAAAAAAAGGGGAGGAAATGTAATGTGGCACTTCATACTGAATCTTGGTATAACAGTTCCTTAAGTGTAACTTTTGTTATAGATGGATTGTTCTCTCGTCTCCATTGTATGTCATTGGTAATGTCCACTTATCTTGAATGGGTCTTGGCGAATTGGCCAAGCCTGTTTCATCTCTTCCTATATGACCTTGCTCTTCATTTTAATTGAATCCCTCAGCGGTGTTTTGCCTTAATAGCCCGTGATAACTGTCACTCCAACGTTTCTTAGTATCATGCATTTAATAGGGTCTATTGGAAGTGGGATTTATTTTCGTAGTGGGTAGTCGATTAGCGCTTTCGCTTTTACTCCGTCTTTAATAGTGTCACAAGGGGCTACACTGCAGATAATAAGCGACGTCATTACTAAAACTTGCTGTTGTCTAATCGTAGCATCTTTTATTTATCTTCAGCCTAGAAACTCCTCTACACACGGGCACCGGCATCAGTGGTAGGTACACAACGGAGACGGCCTTCAAGGCCTCCACACCATCCCTCCCCTTTGAAGAGATGGATGGGTTGGGTGGCGGTGGAGGATTGGCGGCTGGTGGCGAATTTCTGCCGCCCCGTCTTTGGGTCTCCTCTCTGAACCAATTAATGCAGCTGGCGTCGGCTAGTCGCTCTTCAAGCGGAGGGGAGAGAGAGGTGGCGGTGGCCGGTGCAAAGCGAAGAATGCTGACGCCTCAACTTCGCCATTGGCACCTCCCCTCCTGCCCCCATAGGCTCTGTATCCCTCGACAGAACCTCCCACCCCCACCACCGCCATCTCTTTCGTCCCTCTCTACATCGCGGCGGCATCCCACCAGTAACACCAATCCCTCCTCTTCTTCCACTAAACCGCTTGAAGAATACTCGTCTTTCGTGAGTTCCACAAAACAAATGACTGCTCTGAGACTAACTGTGGTTAAATTTATCGGATTAAATGCTTGTGTTGCAGAGACCCAGCTACAATAATCACCATCACTGCCAGACAGATGTGATAGCAGCGCCGCCACCGGAGTCGCGTCACTTACCGGCGAATACAACAGAGCAGTCCTATTCCACCTCCCAACATCGAGTTCGCCGACGGCAGCAGCCCCAGTTAAGCACAGCATCGTTGTCCGGTTTCCCAGGTGGTCGACGTTCCGTAGTCGACTTACCAACGTCCTCGGCATATCTTGATGCCGGACAGGGTGACTGCTCCAACCCTCCGACCAGCAGTCAATCGACCACGTGTCTGGCCGCAGCAGCGGCTCCTTCCCGCCTCTCCCCTCCACTCACACTCGTTCCTTTCAGCAAGTTATCCACGGGCATCTCTGGCACCTCTGGACGACGCAATAGACGCAATGTTGTCCGTGCTTTACCTTAAAGATGGGTGGCATATATTTGATTGCGCACTTTCTATCGTCTTTCGCTTTTGTAGTTGTCGCTATTTGGAGGGAAGACAAATGCCTCCTTGTCGGAGCCACAGCCACCGCAAAATAACACACATACCTCCACATCAGCTGCCCTGAGTGGCGGCAGTGCCGGAGCCTCGTTTCCGTCCACTCCGGTTCACGAGCCTTCCACCGTCACCACGATCACTGCGCCGGCCACGCTGGCCTTCGGTTATCTCAAGGCCAAATCCATCACCCCACCCCTGTCAACTGCTGCTTCCTCTCCTCGCTCCTCCTCTGTCACCAATACCACTAATACCAGCGGTTGAGGTTCGGTATCTGGGTTTGCGAATCACTTTTAAGTACCTTTTATTCTTAAAATACATGGTGAATTATGGGAGATATGTCTGCTTTTATGAATTTGATTTGCGGATTATCACTGTCAGTATCGGATTGGCGTAACTCGGTTATAAATGCCTTGATGTGATTAAACGATCATGCACTTTGCTAGTAGAATGACTACGCTTTGAGGTTTGAAACATTATCTACCCATGTTTCTAATCCCAGCTGTCTAATATATCGGATTGATTCGGGTGATTTTGATTCCATTTAAGGGTTGGTCTACTCCGAGGGCTTTTTATAGTTCTAGAATGATCTCTCCAAAACTGGTCCTCGCTATCCACCATCGCCACTGAGTAGGCAAAACTGACCAAAATCCTATTATTTTATTCACACGGTATTGTGTACTCATTAGAATTGCTTATTTGTTGTTTCAGGAGGCTGTCGAAAATTTAAAAACACCGTGAACCAAAATTGACATTCCGCATTTACCACTTCGGAAAGAGTAAAGCAGAAGAACAACATCTTCCCACCTTCTTCAGATCGAATTTCTCCCTTCTCTCTCTCCCTTGTCGTATAGATTAAACGTCAGATTCGTTGGCCCTAGTAATGCTTTCCCCCACTACTTGGCTCTCAGATTCCCCACCAAATCCCTCTAAAATGTCATTATTCTTCGTCTTCCTCCCACATTGGTGCTGCCAAATGTCCAGTACTAAAGCCTCAAAAGACTCGTGTTCCACAGATCAACTTTCACACGTAACGGTATCTAGTTGGTGTTACTGTTACAGGAAAGGAAATGAGAGAGGTGGTAATTTTGGTGGTCCCCCCTCCTCTCCATCAGTCCTCAACGGTATTTGACGGGGCGCTGGCGGCTTGCTACTGCTACTACCATCGATCACCCCTTCCCTCTCCCTTGCTCCATAGCCATCCCTTGTCCTATCTACATTAACTTTACCGGAACAAATATTTTGAATAACGTTATTTTGCCGATGAAGTTTTTAAATCTTCTTTGTGCAGGGATTGCTACTGACCCTGGTGCGTGTAGCAATGACGGGTGCCAAATTTACTAGACTGTCCCTTGATTGATGCTGGCATTCGAAGCAAATTCTCGACGGAACATTCATGGTTTTTTTGTGGTCCGAGGTTCCACAAAGTTAACTGAAGTTTTTAGTCCCACCTGCTAGCTCCATTATGGTAGCTATGACAAATTTCAGGTGAAGTTCCTTATAAGTTCCGCGTAACCGTCTCCAAAGATGGGGCAAAGTACGACGTGCCTGTACATTAAGCTTAGTCTTCGTATCTATAGATCTTTACAAGAAAGGTTAGAGAACCAATGGCAATAATAGTTGAATTGCCTGGGTAAGCGATGGAAAACCTACTTTAAGCATTAGCTCGCTTAACGGCGCTACGGGGCTTTGGCAATTCTCCTCCAATTGCGCCTCGGAAGTTCCATTGCTTGTTATCCGACTGTTAATCTATTGTAACACCAAGACGGTGAATGTTTCGGCTTGAAGTCACGGCCAGTAAGTGAGCTCTACTGCATTCTCTTCTATGAGTGCTGTGTGTTCAATTATAACGCACAGGAGGCGGCATGTGCCCGAGATCTTTTAGATATTTACCATCTGGTGATAAGTTGCCTTTGATGGACCCTCGATTACTTCACATGCTTGAGTGCGGAAAAGATAACCGAATTTTGCAAAATTTGGGTAATGGTAAACATAGACTCCCAGCAAACTCGACATATACCAAAATGCATCAGAAGTTTTGGTAAAATTATAGTTTAAAATAATATTTTAAACCTATTAAGGAGCTGATGGCTCAGGCTGAATCTAGTGCTCACAAAGCACAAAGAAAATTTGGTTTTCGTGATAACAACGAATAAATACTAATTTTTCCATGAAGTCGAAAGAGGCCACAGTAGGATGCAGAACAGATATTACTAACGTACGGAAAGTCTGAAAGGCTACGCCCATGATTCAAAAACCACAGTGCCGAGCGAAGGGACGGTCCGCAGAGTTACGTAATCGCATGGTCAAACGTAGAGTTAGACAAACTCCTAATGCATTACGCGAGCAACTGCATTATAAAGTCTCATACGCTCGCATCACTAAGGCAGTTCACACATCTTGCTTACCGCGTATGCAAGTAAAACGCTCAAGCCGCATGAAGCCCGTATTATGTGATGATACGAGTTGTCAACGGTTAACAAATTAGAGACAAAAGCTTAAGGTATTCCCAGGCTTTATAATTTATAAGTAACTAAAAGAGAATGGCTGGATTTAATCCTTGATTAAGCGTAGATTTATTAATTATACTCATGGAATTTGACCAGTTAGAGTCAAAATCCCACTGAATTTATGTTTCGAAATTCTTTACATACGATCCCTCTACTTAAAAAACATATAATAGAAGAATCAGCTAGTCCAAAAATCATCGTATTTTTGTTTGTGCAAAGGTGATGTAAGCCCTTCCTGATACCCCGGGCAAGATGAAGTTTTCGCTGGCGAGTGGTGCGTGTCTAGTAGTAGCGGGTCTGAGCATTTTTGCCCGGGCTGTTGCATTGTAGTTTACCTATGCTTAAGAATGTTCCCAGATGCATTATCGGCAATATGTAAAAGTATATTTAGGGAGTCGGTGTTTTCAAGCAATGTGTAAAACAAGGACCGGGAGCTTCCTAGTTCTGATTGGCTTATTTCTTTTGTTCCGTGTTTCTAGACTGGGTTGAATCGGTATGGATGTCGCCCAAGCTCAGGTTCGGACAATTCGTATACCTGATCTCGTCGGAGAGGATTGTCAGCGCCGATTCCTTAGTTTTTTAGAAAGGTATCAATAGACGGTACTATTTTAAATAGTCGGTATTAGTTTTAAAGATGGCGAGGCCTTAAAGTATGCTGAGACTGCGAATGGGCTTAAACAACTTGAGAAGAGCACTTTACCTGTGTCTTTTGACGATCTTTTGATGCATGATAGCAGATTGGCATCTCTAGTCGAAGATGAATACTACCGGTAAAGTTGTGTATGCGGAACTCTATCGCCTCTAGACTTTACCCCTACCTCTGTAATGCCGTAAAAAATTTCATCAATGATCACGTGCCAGACACTTTGAACTCTGGCCGCGACTTTTACGTTAGCTTCACGGACATTACAACGCTGCACAGGTTTGTTCGTCAATAAGCTTTAGCCTTTGTTAGGTTACGTGAACTTAACGCTCATCAACTCGGTAAACTTGTAAAAATCCGAGCTCAAGTTGTTCGTTCGCATCCAGTCCATCCGGAATTGACGCTGGGTACCTTCAAGTGCCAGGATTGTGGTACCATAATCCGCAACGTCGAGCAGCAATTTAAGTATACTCAACCGAGTGTTTGCTTTAATCCCCAATGTGCTAATCGTGTTAAATTTGAGCTGTTGACAAACCAGTCAAAATTCGTCGATTTTCAAAAGGTGCGAGTACAGGAGACACAAGCGGAGGTGTCGCGTGGAAGCATCCCACGAAGGTAGGTCTTTTGGATTACTACCATGGCCCATAGTATGGAAATTCTTCTTCGAGCTGATGCTGTTGAACTTGCTCAGCCCGGTGATCGATGTGAGTTTATTGGCACTCTTATTGTCGTCCCAGACGTGGGTCAACTCGCTACACCTGGCAAGTCTCGACCTTCACACTTTTTCATCAAAACTCCACTTTTATCCTCTGAATAACTGTCTGATTTAAACAGGAACTCGGACGCTAGAACGCAAAGGAACGAGAACAATCGATGGCTTTGAGTCCGGTATCTCCGGTCTCAAGGACTTGGGCGTACGGGAGCTCACCTATAAGATTGCTTTTTTCGCCTGCACAGTTATTCCAGCTCATGGTCGTGTAAGTTAGTCGTGATTTTGGTTTTCATTGGCACAGCTCGCTAGAATCCATTATCATGCTAAGCTTATAACGAACACCGTTTGAGAGATGGGAATTTTTAATGACATGTTTCTTTTGTTTCCAAGTGTTTGTATGGAATAATTACAACCACTGAACTATTTTAATAGTTTACCAAGCGTAAAAGTCTATGGAATAGGGTCTCTGGGTGTCGTGGAATCGTTTGATTATAATATCTTTCTGCCCCCAGTACCTACCATCCGATGACCTGGAATCCGCTGACGGTGTCTCCTACGAGGCGTTGTCGAAGCGATTGAGTCAACCGGAGCTCGACACGATCTGCGCCATGAGTCAGGACAAGAACCTTTTCCAAAACCTTTATACCTCCCTCTTCCCGACCATACATGGCAGTGAGGAGGTCAAGAAGGGCCTTCTCCTCATGCTCTTTGGCGGCGTTCCCAAAGTACGTTACCGTCTAACTGACATTCACGCTTTCGAATGCATCTGATAAAGTTTCCGAATTTCTAGGTTTCATAATGGCAATGTAGTTTCATTTTGAGCTGTTTTGGGATCATTCTATTACACATTGACTATTTCTCAAGGTATTTCTTTAGTTCTAGTTCTCACTCATCAGTACCATCTTTGAAGCTTTAGGCTCAAACATTGCTGTGGGTGCCCGCATGCCCAAATCTTGGGAGAAATCTAATCCAAAATTTTAATAGTTGAGTCGATCTTGATAGGTCACGTAGGCTGAATTGTCGAATCAGAGTCCATACCTGCTTTGATTGCCCATTTGGAGTTTTGTGTTTCCTCGACTTACCGGTCCAGGTGATTTGTTTCTGAAAATTTAGTACTAGGGAAATTATTTTCAATGTACTTTAATAAATTCTTAAATGACCAGTGATTTTCTTGGGGAAAAAAACTCTAAGTTACATCTGTTGTGCATACGGGGGGTCTATTTCGCTGCTTTCGTAGTATGACTGATTTCGATAGACCAATTATGCAAATTTTAAGGGAATCTTTTCTTCTAATGCAAGCTGCAAAGAGGACCCTACCGAGTATCTTTTGTCCAAGCGAATGATTGCTTAAGTACCTATTCCACAATTTGTAATTTGCAATGCTGTTTTCCTCATTTTTCGTTCAATCCAATCCTTCCAATGGTTATTTGTTTATCAGAAAGTGGATTTTCACTGCGGTCTATTGTGCGTCTGCAAGAAAGGTCTTGATCAATAACGTTAGTACAAATGAATGGGAGAACTCGAATCGTTGCTACATTAATGGCGTTATCATATTCGAAAAGATTTGTATTTGACGGATGGGCAATCTCTTGTTGGTTGCACATATTGGTTTGTATCCCTCCATTACCAGGTTACGGAAGAGGGGACCCATCTGCGCGGTGACATTAACGTTTGCCTGGTGGGTGATCCCTCAACTGCCAAGTCCCAGTTCCTCAAGCAGGTGGAGCAGTTCTCCCCCCGCGCAGTCTACACCAGTGGAAAGGCCAGCTCCGCTGCTGGTCTCACTGCTGCGGTCGTACGCGATGAGGAGTCCTTCGAGTTCGTAATCGAAGCCGGTGCTCTCATGCTCGCTGACAACGTAGGCTCTTATTACACTTTTTACTGCCTATTCAGCCTTGCTTTGTGGCATTAAACTGATTTATTGCTATGCCATTGAACAGGAAGACTCAGATTTTCCTTAATAGTACTTTGATCGGCGGTCAATCACAATCTAGTATACCATGTTCCTTAACAATGCAGGCTGTCCTCATTGCGGCTTTGGACCTTAAATTCGATATTGGATCCCATTCTGCGGCGTCTACTTGTTTTTTGATAGATCACTAAGCCTTAAATTTGGATTTCCTGATTTAATGCTAGGTTGGACAGTTAATTCCACTTCATTATATAGCCTCTTTTGCCATTGGTTCTGGTACCATTATTGTTCTAATTGTCTTTTTGGAGCAATTTTTGTGAAGGCGTGGATAGGTTATGAGTCTTGTTGGTACTTTTATTTGTAAGTCCCATAGTGAGACCAAAAGATCACTTTGTGGACGGTGCTAAATACCAATGGCGAGGTGTTTCATTAATGAGGACTCGGCTGTTAGTACAGCTCGGAATCGGTGATTGATGCTTTGTTTCGTCCCAGTAGAAAACCTGAGCTTCAGCCAAAAGTTGTGATCGGGACGGGTATACTTGTCCCAGACAACTCATACCCCTTAACTAGTTGGTATTTCGTGATTGGATGCAAATAATGCAAGTGAAAATGTTATGCATATTCTGATTTATGAATTCTGCGTGTGTACTTTCGACTGGGAATCGTCTGGAGATTTGCACACTGCGTATTTTTGCGATTCAAGACATGCCAAACATCTTTCGTTACTTTGCCCCCTACTTATCCCCTCTGGAAATTAGAAATTTTTTGTTTCCAGTAAGCATTAAACTGCGTCGTTGATGATAGTGGAGGCTGCATACTTCGATCAAGTGCTCCACTTTCTCAGGCTCAAAGTGCATCACGGTGGGATATTTCATAATTAACGACCTATTATTTGTATAGCTCACTTCTTATCGTGGAAGCTCTTCGTTCCTCGTTTTTTACCCCTTACTAGGTAAATTAAAATCTTAATAAATACTCAAAAAGTCAATCATTAATGATTTTGTGTGCGTTTCTGCTGCCCAGGGCGTCTGTTGCATCGATGAGTTCGACAAGATGGACGTGCGGGACCAGGTGGCCATCCACGAGGCAATGGAACAGCAGACCATCTCCATCACTAAGGCCGGTGTCAAGGCTACCCTGAATGCGCGCACCTCCATCTTGGCTGCGGCCAACCCTATCGGTGGCCGGTACGACCGCTCGCGATCCCTGCGTCAGAACATCGGCATGTCCGCACCTGTCATGTCGCGTTTCGATCTATTCTTCGTCCTCGTAGATGAGTGCAACGATGTAAGCTTATCCTCCGGCCGCCATTATAACTCACGTTAAATGTACATCATAGTTTGCTTTCTATGTAGGTTGTCGACTATGCCATCGCTAAATCGATTTTGGATTTGCATATGGGACATGCTTCTCAAGTCTCTGCTACGAAGATCTACAGTGCTGATGATATCCGTCGTTACATAGCCTTCGCTCGATGTTTTAAGCCCAAGGTATCACTGTGGTATCTAATGTTGAAGTGCGATTAATACCGCTTCTATGTCTTTTTCCACTTCTAGATTAGTATCGAGGCGATGCAGTGCATGGTGGAGGAGTACAAGAAACTCCGCCAGCGGGACGCTTCTTCGGGCTCAAAATCGGCGTGGCGTATCACGGTACGTCAGTTAGAGAGTTTGGTTCGTCTTTCTGAGGCCATTGCTCGTCTCCACTGTGCCGATTCGGTAAGTACCTCTCTCCACCTGTGGAAACTGATTTATGAACTGCACAATTATCAACGGTGGGAGCGTTTACCCAATTGGGGTTTGTGTTTGCTTCTGTAGGTAACTGTGCCGTTTGTGCGAGAGGCCTTTGCCCTGCTTAATAAGTCCATCATCCGTGTGGAGCAGCCCGACATAAATTTGGAGGAGACGGAGGCGCACGTTGACGTTCAATCGGCTGCTGGGACCACTCCAATGGAGGTCGATCGGGCAAGTGCTGTCTAGAATGTCTATGTATCCCATTCTCTTTGTATTAGTCGATATTCTTATTAACTCGGATTTTACCATGACTTTCTGCCACTTCTCTGTATAACAAACCTGATTATATTTGCCATCTTCTTATGTACTGAGTTCATTGATCAAACGACAAATTCTGCTATTTACGACTTGGTTGATGTTTTATTTTTGAGTTTCAGCGTCTTTTTTGAAAATTTTGGTATCTTTATTCCCAACTTATCATTGTTTAACAAGGAAGAAAACAGTTTTTAATCAGTTGGTGCTATTTGTAATCGTTAATGGATGCATTGGAATTGTTTGTTTAACCCACAAAACATTAATTCGGTTGTGACTTTTTCGTAGCAGCACAGAAGGTATGTCATAGTTGAAGAAACCATTCACGATTTACGAACCTTTCCGTGACTTGTTCATTAACCTTTTTCAAACGATGTCAGCTTAACAGTATTTTTAACAGGTGAGACCTATGTTGCATTATTGTTCGATGCTCATTTCAATCACTTTTTAGGAAACTTGCTGCCAATTTTGAGTGGAAAGATTTGGTGTGGTGACGTCCAGTCGTTGCACTCGCTTTGAATTAATAGCACATAAGCCATCCAAATTTCTGATCAACCTGATCACTTTGTTCACACATATGTGTAAGATTCGTTCGAGAGCCTTACCTTATTTTTAAAGACACTTAGTTGTCACTTGGACCGGGGTTAATTGTTATCAAATGTGCATTTTACTAAACTAGGCCTTTTATGAGTAGTTTTGTGTCTAATCCTTTGTTCGGTTTGAACGTTGAAGTATTACGCACTAAGTTTAATCTTTTTAGTTTTAATAAGTTTGTTAGAAGCTAATCGATGAACTCCCCTGATACGTATCTTGCTGGGATTCGCTCCCTTCCATGACAGGTAGAGGAGCCTTCTACGGATCATCAGCAGCAGCATCTACGTGTGACCTACCAGCAGTACAGACGCATAGCTGATCTGCTGATCCTTCATACACGACGCGTAGAGGAATCGGGAATCGTACCTTCCTCGGCAATGGGTTCTGAGACCAGTAGCGAACAGAGTGCGATTCGCAAGAGCCAGTTGGTCAACTGGTACTTGGAAGAGGTCGCTGTCGAAACTCTTCATTCAGAAGCCGACTTGATTGAGTGCAAACTCCTTGTTGAACGCATTATTGACCGTTTGGTGAAGAAGGTGAGAGCCGCCTCTGTGGCTCACTACCCATTCCTTTTCCAATGACCCAGTGTTGATGCATCTAGTGATCTCCTACACTTCATTTTAGGACAATGTGCTGATCGCTCTCTCTCGAAGTGGACTGGATGCAGGGGAAAATGATGAGGACCCCTACTTGGTCGTGCATCCCAACTACTCCACGGACTAGGCTCTCGCTTGCGAGTTTCACCCTTTTTGCTTAATGGACCTACGAGTTTTTAGTGTCTGCACTTTGTATAAGGGAAGGGGTGATAAATCATTAGAATACTACCGAATGTATACAAATTCTCATAATAGTAAAAGTATGTTTTTAGCTTGTCTGTCTGTGCACACGGCTAGTCGGATGTCGCGGATCTCAAATATTTCCTCGCGTATGGTTGAATTTAATGGATAGTAAAAATAGAACAAGAAAGTGCTTGGGGTACTGCTTAGTTTCCGGTTCTACGCTAATCGGGAGTTGACGACGTTTTGAAGGCGATGTTCGCGAACGACTTGGTGCTGTAAAAGTAGCGGAGGAGGCGAGGAACCATTGCGAGGTTGCTCTAGTTAATGTGCACGATTTGACGAAACAGTTGGGTCTCGGCTCGGGTTCCGCGTCGGTGAAGGTGGGGACACGTGTGCATTTGTGTGAACGGGTTACAGACTCGTATGCCTTAAAAGATATTGCCATCAGGGCATTTATTCTTGTCACATCCGATTTTTGTAACAGATGAGTTGAGAAATGGCTTCAACTCCACATAAGTTCGTGTCAAACTTGTGTATTACCTAGTTCTCATTGTTTTGAGCCTTATCCGGCTGCTCAATTACGGCGGTAACTGGGATCGAGGAAAACAAAAAGGGATTGGAGGTAAAAATGTCTTTATTTTGGGGTGGTGGTGTGCCTTGTGAGTTTGAATAGAGCCATCGTCTCACTCTGTGGAGTGAGCTATCCTTGGAATGGGTGATGCTATACTCTTCATAATCCGTGGTGAATGTATACAAGTGTAAAACAATGAGTAACACTAGACCATCGTCAAGTTAAGTGCGTAAGGTAGTACCCAGCTGAAACAGGTAACAATGCGCTAGAATATCATTAATATTACTAAGTTAGTTTGAACGCCACTGAGTAGATTTGGGCATTTCTCTTCTCCTTGCTTGTACGGTCACTTGAACTGGGCTGTAGGTAACGAGTCGAATCTGCAATTGAGTTGGTGTAATTAGGGACAGCTATTAGACTTCTAACAGGAATTTGACATGCAGTTAATAATCGGTGACATTTAGTCACTTGATCTGCTGGTTACTACACAACTACAAGGGACAAGATCGCATAGTCCAGGTACCAAGCGTTCAAAACCGAAAAAAACCCTCTGAAAACTGCTGGTCGGTATGGATATCAGCGAGTTTTGGGAAACTCCCCATGAATGTGGAACTTATAAGGAGAAAATAAGGCTTTTCTATGATTTTAATCGCACATTAGACTGTACATTATGGGCCAGACGAAAGTAGGAAAGCGTTTGTAGTGTGACATAAGGAGAAATTTAATTAAAACGGATAAAGGTGCTTAAATTCAACCGCAGTGCGTTGTTTCATTTCATCAAATACCAAGACAAGATTTTGCCCGCTGTCAAAGCATTGGTTAAACAATTTTGCTCCTCTAAATTGCTGTCTTTGGATTACGCCTTGTCAATGAACATTTATGCATCATCAGGCGACATCGTCAATTGGTAGTGTGAATAATGAAGCTTTTTCTAGATGCACGATCGCAACGTCTGTTCCCAGAATGCCTCATGGGCACTGCAGTCAGTGTGAAGCCCTCATTGTGTAGCAATTCAGATTTTTTAAAAATTAATTGCTATTATATATCGCTTATCAAAGCTGAATTTCAAAAGCACTAAGTTTTGAGTGTCCCCGTAATGTGAATATTATATTGATAAAACCATCGACATCAATGCTTCCAATATTTGGAAGAATTCGAATTCTATGAGGTGTCTGCCCCTAATTCAGTGATGGGTGCAGAAATAAACGTGGTAAGTTATAGCCTCATTTTGATAAGGGCATTAACCTGCTTCTCGACCGGAGTTTTTAGCAGTCCCATCACACATGGGACGCATTGCAGCAAAGAACGGGGGAGACACTGCGGCCACGGTTTGCTGCCTTTATTGGTTCCCGCTAAAGCTCTCGGGAGAACCGTAAAACCACTTCAAGACCGACAAATAATTTTTTTTTCGTAAAAACACTGTAGACTATGTACTCAAGATTTGTAAATCTATACTGCTTCATCCTAGTAGAAACGGGTGCGCAAGGGAGTTGTCAAATTGCTAAGCGGTCATTACATCAAAAAATCACATCATGGTTGAGCGGAAGCTGCGGAAATTTTAAGGCAGGGCATGTATTTTTAAGAGACGGTCAATACCTACATTTCTCATTTAAGAAGCTTAATTTTGATGGGACTCATAATTATTAACGTTTTACATATTCAGAACGACATCGTGCAGCGCGTGGGGTTAAAGCATCAAACAAAGTCTAATCGAAGAATGGTATCACGGAAAGCTAAAGCTCATGCGTAATCCAATCAAAATTTTGATTTACAAATGCCCACATGGAATGCCGAATCTAAAGAGACTATTTAGATGCCCAATTTTGTTCTGTTTTTGCTTCACCTACTCAATTTAATGATGGGGAAAATTTCGGATTTTACAGCGTCTGTTCCATTTGAAGGCGAAACGCATGTTTCTGCAGCATAAGACAGGTGACAGTAACGAATGTCAATTTAAGATATTCAAGCAAAAGTGATACTGCTCTCAGATCTGAGCCAACGACCGACTGTTCGACATGCATGCTAGACGCGTGCTCTCACTCGATTGGCCGGTGCCGCAGTAAGGACTCGACGGCAGCTATATAGAGGCATAACGCCTGATAAGCACAAAAAAATGCGGCCTTGTCTCCTAGTTCTCATCGTTTTTATTCATTTGGCTTTCGCTATGCCCCATCAGGTAGGCCTGATTATAATTGTGCTTAGAATTTTAAAGAGCATTTGTTTGTAATCAGAGCTATTTGTTTTATTATCTAGTAATTACTGGTACTATGCTACGGAGTTGTCCAATGCAAATAAATAAATGTGTTTGCTGATGAAAGTAATATAGCCTCATTTCGAAATTGAGGTAAAGAACATATTGACTTACTGTTCCAGTTTACTTAATAAAAGGGAAGGATAATTTATCTTTTAATCAGTAATGAAGTTAAGTTTGTTAGACTCCTTATCGCAAGTAGACATATCTTAAGGATCAAAAAAGGGCCTTAATACGATAATTAGGACTGCTGTGCACTCAATCCGAAATGCCGAATTTCATCTACGCAAACTGATGTAAAAGGCATGACGCTAGGAGAATCTTGCGAAAGCCATCTCCTCAGGAATGGATTTATAAGATCCATCAAAAGAGCATGTTATGTCAGAGTAATTTTACTGCGTCGGTACATGACTGTGATACAAATAAACAATTTAGTGCATATCTTGAAGAATTTGGTATTCATTTTGCATGAAAATAATCTTAAATAGATCAATGAAAATTTCATTTCTAGCTTGATTTGAGGTGGCATCAGATGGAAAAGGCCTGGGCTGACGAACTTCAGGGAGAACCAGAGAGTCCATCCTTGAAGAGTAGATTACAGTGGTACCCCAAGTACCAAGGAGAAGATACAGGAGAACCGGATACGTTACCAGAAACCCTTCTCAAACGAATTCATCGTATTTTGGCCGACTACTGATCACCTATTCATACAAACTTACAAATTGTGAATTAAAAAGTGTGCCACCTCACCATGACTGTTTTTCTATTTGGTTTAGGTGGAAGGAAGAATGCAAAGCTTAAAATCTACGCCTTTTACATAGGTATTTTTTTGATGTGGGATTAAGAAAAGCCAACAACGAAAGCCTACTCAAATTTTGAGGAGGAATAAAAGAAGAGTACAATGTAGCGAATCTCATGATTGTAAGGAGAATAATATCAAAGTGAGCAAGTGCCCTGCTTCTGCTAGATAACCATGTTAAGAAAGAGAAAACTCATAAAATCTGCCGTTTTGAAATCAGCTTTATTTAGATGTGATATTGTAAAAACGTGTCTACTTGCAAAACAAAAGCACAATGTATTATTGCTGTTGAACACTGCACTAGCCACCTAGATGTGGTCATGCACGAGCAACAGACCCCTCCCACATACCTGTTAGAATAGCCAAATCGTAGCAGTAAGACTTACACCGTCAAGTGGTAAATGATAGATCACCCCTCGAGTGACTTAAGTGTTTATTACCAAAATGTGATTAGTGAAACAGCGATATCCCAATATGAGAATGGGAATTGTTAAGGAATCGGGTTTTCTGCTGCATATTGCCTAGCTCGTGCCTCCCAGATTGTTCTGTTTTCTTGAAGCTGCTCCATCCACTTAAATTCTGAAAATAAAGAGCATGACTCGTCAAGGTGAAGAGTCAAACAAAATTTTCATATCCGATAATTTTGGTATTTTTTGACGAAGGTCATTGACTGTTTATGTTCTGAGTTTAGTAAAAACAGCATTCGTAAATGGGAAGCTAGTAATTTTTTGCTAAAAGTGTTTTCTACCGCTTTAGTGTGTTATTGGACTTCGGAGGGGAAAACAACTACTTAACAGATAATTTTGGTGGAAAATTAACTATTTCTTTTGAAAGCTGAAAGACTAAGCTAAAACACTGAATAGTGATGGTAAACGAATAACATCCACTTTGACATTTCATGGAATTTTATTATCGCCTTCTTACCACCAGGAAATTGTACTGGCTTCATGTCTACTTCAGCCAACTGGTCATGGCTCTGTTGCTGTTTTTTTGCATCCCTGTAAATCCTTTCAAGCATTTCCTTCAACAGCTGAAAAGTGGGCACCACGATGAAGTTAATGAACCCTAAAATGTACAAATTAACCCTGCAGGCAAGTAGCACAAGGTTGCCAAAGGAGGCCGTAAGGTGTAAAGGGATTTTTAAACAGCAGTCATAAAGTGCCGCCCTGGCAACAAATATAAAGCAGTCCTCTTGATAGTCCTATCGACTCTTGATGTTTTCCTCTCCATCAATGCATATGGGAGCCAAATATTAAGTGAGCTGACATTAGGTTCGTTATGCTCAGTATCTCCTGAAGTTAAACATTTCAGTTACTGGTTAAATGTTTATTGAAACGCCCAAAATCAATTATTTTTGTGGCACGTTTTTATACTCTTCCAGAATAGTTAATGTAAATGACTGCGCCAGACTTTCATCTACCTAGCTTGATTTTTTAAAGAATTTGGATGACTTAAAGTGATTTTATACAATTGGTAAAAGGTGTTCACTGGTATTTGAGGAGTCTTACCGACTTGACTTTCAGGTACCATTGTTGTATGTCGGTCGCATAAAGGTGAACAAGGGAGACCTAAGGCTGCTTCACGATCCCCCTAAAAGAGAGACCTTACTAATGAACTCATGATTAATAGCCTAGAGGTAAAAGAAACTATGTAATTTTGAACAGTGACATCAAAACTGCAAGTTAAAAATTTCCAGGCATTAAGAAAGCAAATAATTTGTTGTAGATTTATTTACAGAACCAAATGGAACAATCAGGTGTGCTTAAAAACCATGTTTAAATCAAGGAAACTTTTCTACCTGATTAAAGAACTCTTCAACAAGCAAGTATGTCCATCTTTCATGCAAATCCCAGCACTTGGTTGGGTGAGAAATGTCCGCTGCATGTAACAGTAACGAGAATGCTTTAGGCTTTTCAATCCTTAATGGAAAAGGAACAGGATGAAACAAGCTCGGATACTTTTGTTCCTAAATCAAACTTAGACTAATCAGTTAAGTAGTCTACTTACGGTTCGGGTAGTTTGAGAAGTTTACTGACCACTTTGATTTGAGAGAAATGCAGTGACATGTCCGTGTTGAGGACCATCTCAATCACGAGCTGCCGTATCGCCCTGAAAGCGGAAGAAATGCACTACTTTGCAAGCAAGCATACAGTCAGGTGGAAGGAATGGCGAATCAAGGGAAAGAGAGTTTGATAAAATATGGCTAGATGACGTACTGGAATTTGCTCCGGGGAACGTTGACAAAAATGTTGAATGCTGGAAGTTGGGTGACTCGATAGGCCGCGCTGATGTGATGATTTTCCAGGACACCGCGATCGTTGTACAGAAGAGCTAAATGCGACCTGCAGACAATTTAAGGGGCATTGATATTGCTATCATTTTTTGGCACAAATCAAATCATGCCTGTCCACAAGGTAAGATTAATAATACATGAACTTTCGCCTAGGACTGGACACTCATAAACCTAAAGAAATTTCAATTTAAAAGCTGGTATTTCTAATTAAATATATCCCACATTAAATGGGCTGAAAGGTGTAGGAGTTTTGGTTATTATTTTACCTTATGTTTATCTGGTAGGCGTTTGTAGTTCCTGCGTGTTCAAAGTCGTGAATCAGTGCGGAGAATAGCAGGGCAAATTTTTCCTCCTCTGTCATTAACTCCTACAACTCGAGAACAGCAACCACGGAAAATACCTGCTTTCCCACCTTAAGTCTTCGGTCGAGACTACCGTTTTGAATAGTAACCCATTACGCAAGGTGATTTAGCTGTTGATCTACTCTTTACTCATAGAGACATAAATTTGCTCTAAAAAAGTGAGCCTTCCATAATCTAGAAGTCACATCTACTGAAACGCTACTTAACAGTAAAGGTAGTGGTTTGCTATCACCCTTATGAAAGTCATGGCCAGGTATTTCTTTCGACAGTCGTAAGGGCGACTCACAGTGAGACCTGAGCCCTCCATTATAGAGTTGCAAGTGTGCACGACATCGGCTGCGTGGATGCAGTTGTGGTAGGGATTGCCGTGTTTGCTGTAACCGCGCTCAAGCTGCGACAGGAAGGCCTCCAACACCCTGCAGGGAATCTACGCGAAATAAATCGGAAAGCATTTTCAGTCCGTGGAGTCACCCATAACTCTTGAACTCACACGACGCCTCATATGTCTGATCCCCATCTATTTAATACATCATTCTACGAGGTGAACTAGCGTCTCCCAACAACTTAACCGTAGAAAGAATTTCTATGCCTAAAAGCAGGCATTTATTTGAATGGATAGTCTGGAGTTAATTATTTGATGATTGCTGCTACAGTGACTTAAAATACTGACTTATTTTGATCATTGATGACGTTAGTCTTGACACGAGAGTGGCATGAAAATCTCCTCATTCCACTTATTCTTCCAGTACTTGAGCCATTCTGTATGTTCACGACAAAACTGCAATACAACAAAGCTATGTCAAGTAAGGAGATGAGTGGAGTGTAAGTACCATTCTTTACTCACTCACATTAAAGAGATCGCAAATTCGATGTCGTTGGAAGATTTCTACACCCATGTACGTCAGGACATGCCCCTCAATTAAAGAGTTGAGATGGAAAACATCAAAACTCCAATTCTTAAATCTTTCCTGGAAGAAGAAAAGAAAACTATTTGATAGGAGCGCCGCGAAATAAAACACTTGTGTATATCTGAAGCAGTAAAAAGTGATAATATCTGTTAATGTTTTTTCTTCTTAACTAAAACAAATTTTCTCAAATTTATTGCCTCCAAATATTGTTAGATAAATGCCAGCTCAATTCACTTGGCCCATACTTTCTGATTAGCGTTATATATTTGATGTTCAAGTGTGTACTACTACTTAACGCAGCGGTTGGATAGGTTATGGTATTTCAGTACTCTGAAATGTCATAATTGTCAGTCCGTTCTAGCATTAGGTCCCCTTTGGAGTGGTTTAATTGGATATGGTTAACATTCCTACCAATTGACAGGCAACAACTTAAATTTAAATGATCTTTGAATGTACAGAATTTAAAAGCTCTATTTAAATGAAAATTCATGGATCTGTAGCCATTTTGTATAAATAAGACACTTACACGGAACAGTTTGTTTGCCTCGGGTGAGGGCTTTAGGCAAATAAACGCCCCAGTTCCAAATAACCTAAAATTATTCCAGTTGAAGGAAGATAAATGGCCATAACTAATGCCAATAGGATTGGAAACCACGAAAGTGCTTATAGAAAATAGCCAGCGGGTAGCCGTTTAATGTCATCTAATTAAGGGTGGTAACCATTCTCGCTTTGCATTTCAGCTAGCACTGCGTTAAACGCTTGGAAATTTTTCGCCACGGTGATTTCGCTAAAAAAACGGGTTACCCTGATAACAAATCGTGAAGAATAAAGGGATACCTCTGGGCTACAAATACTTTGTGGAAAGCAGGTGGTAGAAGGCTTCTGCTTTCCCAAGAACGCAAAATAACAGGGTAGTTACTACAACGGCATTAATCAGAGAAAAAAGCCTTACTCCCCTCGGGTTCACCCATTTATTTCTCAAACCGTAAAAGAACTTCATTTTTTAGATTTATAATGAAGCTTTAACTTAGCATGGTCGATATGATGAATTGGAGTAACCTCGCCGAACTCAACTGTAACTTTTGAGGTATTTGAACCATAAAGATTTTTAAGTAGAGGCAATTGAGTTTTGCATTTTCAGAGTACTCGAATGTCATCTATACAAAGTAGCAGCTTTACTTAGAGCGTCAAGTTATAGACATCAAACAGGCACAATAACTAGAAATTTTTTTTATCACTCTACTTCTCATGTGCATGTAGTAATGCTTCAGATATAATTTGAATGTAGTCTAATTTTCGACCGATTGTGCGACCAAACTGTTCTTAGCTGTATCAAAATTGGCCATTTAAGTGTCTGCATCCTATGGCGACCTATTATTGTATCTATGAGAGGGAAAAATAAGTCGTGCATAAAACTACCATATTTTGTATAAAATTGCGCCAAAACGAATTGAGAGGGGAAGAGAACGAAAGGAGGGGTGAACGTAGGTATTCCGACTACCTTCCCTCATAAACGCCCATGCCGTTAAGGTGCTGTCGTCTCTTTTGAAACTGCTTGTAGCAATTACAGTTAAACGATGATGGTTTAATTTAAGTATCACAAATAGAGATAAAAGCGGGTTTCTTTGGTTTTAAGAAGTTTAAAAGGGGGAATCAGAAGTGGCTTTAAAAATAACAAAGATAATAGAGACTAGTTCGAGGGGAATCAGGATTTGTTTTGTTCGGATATACCTCTATGCAAGCCTGCCAAGTTCGACCGCCCTCCCCCTCCCTCCTCTGCCTCTATTCCAGCCCTCCTGCGATAGTAGAATGGTCTACTCACAACAATAACAAAGGCGCTAAACGACACAAAAACTTGACAACTCACTAAAGCTTTTATTAAAATAACCGGATGAATAGTTTGTTAGCATTAAGGTAATACGAATAATTCGTGCCGAAATTTCAGAACAAATCAGAACCTTTACGTGGATATTTGAATAACTTAATATTTTATACAAAGGTTTTCCGGAAAGAACTTGTCGTTCGCTGCATTCTACTGTTTGGTTGCGCTCATGTTGCCCAAATAAATCGCCTATACGCAGACGAACCGCATCGGAGCCAATGCGTTACCGCATTGCCATTAAATTTAGAGGTGCGCACATTGAAGTGGAAAATTGTTTACGTACAGTAATTGGCAACCAGTAAAGTTGATTATTGAATGATTCCCTTCCCTTAAAACTTGTTTGAATTTCTAGTCTTGCGTTTTTCTAAATTAGAGCACATTCAGTGCCAATGAGCCGGACAATTTGTCTTGAAGAGGAATGAAGATGTGGAGAGAACGAAGGTGTCTTGGTCTCGTATTAAAACACTTTTTATGTAATGCAAACTACAGAAGTCGTTAGATATGCCACTATATAAATTCATAATAGTTGAGCCTTTACCATACAGGTTTGCTATTTGTTGTTGGAGTGGGCATTCATCAGCTCAAACGCATATTTCAATTTGCTATAATCGTTAAGGGGATAAATTTTATAGAAGCTTTTATACGTTCGCGTGGCCACGAAATCTAAGGTTTGTTAGCTGTTTAATACCCGGATCCCAGAAGTGAGCCAGTCAGGTAAAATTAAGGTGGATAATGGTAAGTTGAAGGCGGTTGCCAAGGCTTTGCATGAACTAGCAGTCCATTTGTGGTAAAACTGGACCAACTTTAAGGCGGTTCGCGATTATGCAATAAAAGATGGCCGGATACTTTTTTCATGAGTGTGGAAAGCAGTACACTGACTTGCCTAAATCTGCAAGAAGTTTTAATTATGTACGGTTCAGATGTCTACTGGCTTTGATGAAAAAAACGCAAAGCTTAACAGGAGACCGTATCGACTCAAGAACTCTGTCTCCTTTCATGGATGTACAAGAAACCTCACCTGTGGAGCTTGATGCCTGCCTTGATTTTGATGGCAGCCTGTTTGAAGGTGAGGCGTGGTACATCACTAGTGTTATGATGCCAAGCAGCTTGTTTGGTAAAGGTAGTCTCGAGCCAGGAACGCACCACCTTGGAGACCATAGCCGCACGCAAGTCCCCCTCCCCCTGTCCTTCCCCTTTCCCTCCTCCGCCCCCTCCACTGTCTTCGACGTTGAAGGAGTTCAAGAGCTCGCTGAACTCGCTGTCATTGGCCAGGATCTCTCTACTCAATTGGGGAAGCACACAAGCAACCTATTGGCAACATCTCAACTGATTATCAGATTTCACTCCCGCTTTAGCGATTACTTAAAAAATGAGCTTCTGTCTCCCTACTGAGTCGAAACATCTGCCTACTTTTATTTGAGAAAATGTGAGAATATTTTTGGGCCAACTTAAATTACAAGGTCAGGGGAAAGCGTCGGACAATACGATTTGACCTACCGCTTTTGAGCAATGTAGAGATTGTGAACTGAGGTGCAAATCTTGTTCAAGGCTTGAATGAGATTCGCCTTCTCGATAGCATCATCTTCGACTTGTTGCACTAGTTGCTTTAGCCTTAAAAAATTCGAAAAGTCGTAGGGATTTAAGATGGTTAAGTGATTTGTCCGTGTATTCTGAGATAAGTTAGTCTTAGTTACCCTTGATTGCTATAGCAACAAAAACGTATATGAGCACTTTAAACATCTGTGGGTTCAATTTAATAATAAGTAAAAGGGGTAGGAAAACAAAGCATTTTAGTACCTCTGGGAGGTCTCCCACGACACAACTAACGAACCGGAGTCAGCTTCTCTTCTAAAATATTCGACAACCGCGTGAGGTTTATAGAACAAATATTAAATGATAAAGTCAGTGTAGGAATATCCGCACATTTATGATAAATATGTGCAGACTTATTAAATATAACAAATTGAACACCACTTATTTTTTGTGGAAAACTGGTGCAAAATCCATCATTCACCTAGTGCGCTATAGCATGTCATTCAAGTAGTAGTCCTCACGATTCAAGTCTCGATACCTCAGAAACCATAATATCGTTCCTAGCAATTACGCTAATTTCCACAGTTTCTTATGCGCCCAAATGGGCGGAACTTCTGTATTAAATTACATTTCATTGTTCTTTTAAGCCTATTTCTCGATATACACTAACTATAAACTATTCTTCATAAAATCCTGACACATTTCAACGAAGTAGTTTTGTAGTATAGAATAAAAAGCGCCTTAAAATTACATGTTCCAATTCAAGTCGTGGGGACGAGTTCTCTGTCAATGTTTACTAGTACAGCTTTTAATATACTCCATATCCCCATAGTGTTTATACAAAAACAAAGGAATAAATGTGGTGTGAAATCATACTTGAATGGTTTATATTCCCGACCAAGGCTTTTGACCTAAAAACAAAAAAAGTATTTGTAAAAACAAATTTAGGTGGGGCTTATGGGAAAACCCCTGTGGTTTTTCCCACTGGACTTTCTTGTTCACTTCTGCATAAAGTCAAGTTTCGACGTGAAATAAAACGCTTCCAGTCGTGTTTTCTCTTAAACTTCAGATCATTGGCCAAAAAATCTAGCTTATTTCTTAAGAGATTGAGCAAATGTACTACTTAAACATGAGGCGATCAAAATAATAATTCCCGTAAGTGCAAACGACCCGGGCGGGAATTTTAAGGCATGAGAACCTTATGCACACCTTTGGAGGAAGGTACACTTGGCTGTAAAAAAGTAGTTGGGGGATATTTTCGGTAACTTAAGTGTTTAGGGCGTGGCTTACGTTGAGTATATGTTTAAATCACATAAATATGTCAAAAATCATTGCTCATTTCGTGTATTTACCTAAACAATTTAATTTTATTTCAAATTTTGTCTAAAGTGAATGAGAACTGCATTCACTATACCGATTGCCGACCTCCAATTCTGGCACGACTCTGTTTCCTTACTGAAAGTCAGGTCTAGGCATTTTCAACCAGGTACCAAGACTGTTGGGTCTGTTGGGTCGCCTCCAGTACCTTTACCCTTTTATCATCTTACACAGTTTACACATTCGCATGCTATTTTTCACCAGATTATGCTAAAAGTGGCGAAGACTTGACATTTAATTCGGGGAAATCTCGTTGTAAAATCCACCAAACAAAATTGTTCATTTAGGACTACTTAAAACAATAAATGCAAAAAATGGCTGAAGACTTTAAAGACATGTAAAGCAAGAACAATGTTATGAGATTTTGATCGTGCATTGGTCTTGCCTTTTGGCGGCCACTAGGCAATTCAGCTGAGGAATTTTGGAAAAGTTTAAGCAAAGGACTAATTGTTTCGGGAATACATGTTTTCTTCGGAAATTCTCCACACATGACCGCCACAAGATCAAACCCTTCAATACTTCTTATGAATTTCCCTAGTTTGTATACGACTTAGACATGCCTTTATTTCGGTTTATTAGTTGTGCAAAAAATGCCGGTTTTTAAGAAATAAGAAGCAAGGATAAGAAAGGTCTCGACTTCAGTAGATTTTAAATGAAAACGAACAGTGAAACATACAATCGAGCTATCACTCATGCCAATCTCCCCGTTCCAGAAGTAGGATTCAATCCAATGAATGAGGTGGAGGAGTACTAGGGTCAAGAGGGCTTCCACCAGTGATGGAACAAGCGGTGGAAAGGTTGCCAGTTGTGCACCAACACACAGATAATCGGTTCCTACCCATGGGTGGTGCCATTTCGAAGTAGTCTACCGAACACGAAGAACAGAGGTGGCCTCTGATTGGCTGATTTGGCTTGAGGTGGAGATTATCAACGACCTGGCAGTTGCGCTGCTCGTGAAAAAGGAAATACACCAAAAATACCACTTAAGAAAAGGAAGTGCTTAAAGTCTTTGGAGTTTAATGAGTTATTTTCTACATTTAAGTTTGCTCCAATAGGGTTTTTTCTTAGACTACGGGCCAAAGTTTATGTTGATTTAAACCCAGTATGCGGTTATAATTGCGGAAGCGAGGTCATTATAATCCCCCTGGTTGGAATTAAAAAAAGTGTAGATGTCATGGAGCGCTGTTTGACTGCACTTTATAGGGAACAAGTCGTAGGGTTCGACGAACGCGATTATTGAGACAGCAATGTCAATCGCCGTAGGGCATGCAAATCATGATCCTCCGCGAAATTTACTGCATCCACGGCCTTAAATTCAGACAACAAATTGTATTCAAAATCAACTTTGCGATCAAAGGTTCTGAAACCGGCGGTCGAGAGCAGAAACAAACACAGTCTTACACGCAGTCATATTTGAGTCGCTATTATTATTATTATTACAACTTCCTGTTGGTAGATATCAACGTCAGTGGTTTTGATCTTCGTTTTCTTTGCATTTACATAAAATATGATTTCCACTGTTCAATGAACACGATCAGTTCCAGCATTACCGACTGCATCTTTGGAGAGGAAGAACAAAGTAAAAAATCTCTTTTAATCTGTATGAAATGCAGTCTAATAGTCGCCTAAAATGCAATTTCACTAGTTAAAACTGTTTTAGGCGCCTCTATTGGCAACTATAGAGACATTTAAATGCAATACATGTTTTTAGGTATGCATTTTAAGTACCAAGTGGGGAGATTGGAGCAGCTTAGTGACCAAGAAAGCTCCATATATCCCTATGAGGAATAATTCCACGTTTCTACAATACATAATGTCTTCCGTTAGCCAGTCTTTTTGATCCAGGGGTCTGAATACGGAGGTAAGAAGGAAAATCGGGGAGAATATTACATATGGTCCGTCACCGGCACGCAAAGTCGTTTTTTTGATGACCAAGGATAACCTAAAATAATTTGATGGCATTAACCTAGTAGGGTGAAGCAGTGGAATGCTAGAAGGGACAAATATTATATTCTTTTTGATAGAATGGCAAATGCGCTTTTAATTTGAAGTATTCGCTGCCTAAGTCGCGCTGGTTTGGGGCTAGTGTTAACCTTTTCAAGCAATTGAAATCCCGGTATGAAATTTATTAAATTGTCAAGCTCCTCTTACTTTTGAAAGCACTACTTTCAAATTAGTTAACAATCAAACTTTTTCTGACTTATTTGTGCATAGTTAACTGATTTATTATTTTATAATGATGGAAGTAAATGTAGAGTAGTGGAATTCGCAAATTTACTGGGAAGAAAGGTGGCAAAACGGTAAAAAGGGCAACACCATAATAACAGCGGCATTGGCTACATGAAGGCTTTTGTTCCATAAATCTCACTTCGCGTTACATCCAAACAGAAATGTTCCACAGAGGGATTCTATCTAATTGAGGTATTTTTAAAGTTATTCTTGCTAAAGCCTGAATAAGTAATTCGTTAACAGATGGTCAAAACTTGACCATTTGAGGAACGTTCTCTTTTAAAAAACTTAACTTTGGATATTAAAGAACATGTGGTCCTGCCACGACCCCTTTGAACTTGGTAGAGTAGTCCAAATGGGGAATCGGATGGACGCATCCAAATGCAGAGATTAAGACTTTGCTTATCTCCGTGTTTAGCTGAGCAGGCTCT